CACCACACAAAGGCAGGTATTAATCTCGCCACAAGGAATCCACCTCCAGACCACACAGCTCCTATGAGACCCCACATCCCAACACCTGCCACACTGGAGCCTGAATCTCAACATGAGTTTTGGTGAGAACAAACAGTATCCAAACTATAGCCTCCCGGAAGAACTAGGCTGAGGCCAGGTGTGGTGGCTCATGCCTGTAATCCCAACACTTTGAGAGGCCGGGGCGGGTGGATCACCTGAGGTCAGGAGTTCAAGACCAGCCTGTCCAACATGGTGAAACCCTGTCTCTACTAAAAATACAAAAATAAGCTGAGCATGGTGGCAGGCGCCTGTAACCCCAGCTACTCTGGAGGCTGAGGCAAAAGAATTGCTTGAACCTGGAAGGCAGAGGTTGCAGGGAGCCGAGATTGTGCCATTGCACTTCAGCCTGAGGGATGCAGCCAGCAAGATTCCATCTAAAAAATAAAAAAAGAAGAAGCGGGCTAGGAGCTTGGGTGTCCTGGGTGAGGAAGGGCCCAAAAACCAGAATCCTCAGCCCTGGGGGAAGGAGGATTGTGGGCAATACTGGAGGTCAATGTGAAGTGACTGCAGCCTGGCTGGAATGTTTTCCAGGCATCTCCAGCTTAATTTGGTCAAAACAGAATGACTGATTTCCCCTAAAAGACCCCCTTTCGACCACCTCAGTCATGGGACTGTCATTCACCAGCTGCCCCAGCTCTCAGCAAGTCCTGCTGGCTCCTCTTTGAAGGCTCCTGGAGTGCCCCACCGTTCTCCACCTCCACAGCCCCGCTATCCTGCACCCCTAATCCAATCACGTCAGGCCCCTGCTTCCTGGCCTTGCACGGCTTCCAACCTGCTATGAATTCACCTAGAGGCCCTCGCGGGGCACTAGGCCCCACGGGATCAGCCGCTTGCCTCTGCCCTCTCATCCCACTGCACTCCCCTCCTCGCCACGAGCAGGCTCCGTGCCTCTTCCTGCCTCTTCCTGCCGCGGCGCCGGCCGCCCTGCATGCGGTTCATCCGGGGAGGCGACAGGAAAGGGTGACACAGTGGCGGGACCTGCTGTTTACCCCGGGACCTCATCTCCCACGACCTTCTTGGGTCGATGACTCCATTTCCCTGGCACCTGTGGGAAAGAGAAGTCGCGAATTCTATTTTCTCATACGGGAACTCCATTTCCCACCAGGCCCCGGGGCCGCCGCGGTCAAAGCCTCTTCCGCACCCTCCACGAAAGTACGGGACCCCACGAAGATAAATAAGGCAAACGCCACCACAGAGACTCGGGAGACTGCGACACCCGGGAAACCTCGGGTTTGGCTCTCCCGTGGCGGGGGAGCCGCACAGCCTACCAGGAACTGCAGATCACCCTCTGGCGGAGGGGCGCAGGGTCCCTGCGTTGCGAGGCCCTTCAGGCTGGCGGGTGCCTGGGGCCAAGGACGGGACCCGCATCAAGGCCCGAAATTCCAAAGCGCCGCACCCCTTCGGAGAGCTCAACTGTGAACCCAGCGGGTGGGAGGGACTACAACTCCCGGCACGCCCCGGGGCTACAGGCGCCTCTCCCACCCGCGTGCTGGTCCCGGACCCTGCCGGGAGTTGTAGTTTTTTGGTTTTCGTTGTTAAGCTCTTTGTCTTTAAAGGCCGGCGTGAGAGTGTGACATGGGGCCTCCCAATCCGCCATCGCACCCTTCTCGGGATCCATGAGCCCTTGTTCTTTGGGGACACCACGTATTCCCCAACTGGAGGGCAAAAGAGTACCGGCCTTAGCCCAGGATTCAGGGGTACCCCACAAGTCAAGACTTCACCCTCAAAGAGGCAGTCCTCACATTTCTTTGGCCGTCAGGAATCCCAAGAAAGGCATTCAGAACGCAGGTCCTGAGCCCTAACCTTGACACAAAATGTCCTCCAAAGGCGGCTGATCCTTCGGGGACAGAGAAGCCTTGCCCTCTTGGCCCCATCTGTCCACTTCGGGACACCCCATCGGCAAGGCCCTTTAACTAGCTGTGCCCAGCACATAGGCCACCTCCTCCCAACTCAACCTTCCCTGACCCCTACCTGAGGTGGTTGCATTTAGTTCTTCCCACTCCAGGTTTTCCTCAAAGCCCAGGCCCAGCTCACAACCTCTTCAGCTTTATGTCCTGCCCCTCAAAGACCTCAAGCCCAATGAAAGCAAAGACAGGAACTAGCTGACAGCTGTAGCTAACTGGCTCATGGCTGTCAAGAAACTTCTAGAATGAATGCTAGACCTTGACCCAGAACCTCTGCATCCATCCTGCTAAGAATTCCATCCCTGGCCAATTCCAACCCCAGACTCCCACCCTATTAACCTTCACCCTTTACTCCACTCCTGCTGGGCTCCGGATGAAACAGAACAGACCCACCCGGGACAGGCCCTGGGGGCCACACCAAGCAAGCGCCCAGAGACAGGCGGGTCCAGGCCACTGTCCGGGGGAAACAGGCTGCCTCCACCAAGCGCCTCAGCTCTGTCAACCCCAAGAAATGAGGGGATCAGCAGGCTGAGTGGTTAAATAATTAATAAGATTACCAACAGTGTGTTAATTACAAAGAACAGAGAGGAGCTAGAGGTGGTGAATTTTCCAAACAGGGAACCAGGATTCACAGCCCCAAGGCCCAGGGGTCCGGCCACCCAGGCGGGGCAGCTCTGCAATAAATAATGGAGTTGGGGGCGGGAGGTCAGGGCTGCTCCTGCTTCTTCTTGACTGAAATCCGCTTCTTTCTCGCTGCCAGCATCTCATAGAAGGGGTCCACACTCACAGCTGCCCTGAAGATGGGAAGGGATCCCAGGATGAGGGCCAAGGAGTCCAGGCCCCCAGCCCCTCCTCCCTCACACCCAGGGGTCCAGGCCCTGGCCAGCCCCTTCTCCCTCACACCCAGGGCTCCAGGCTCACTCAATGGACTTGATCCACTCATCCTTCTCCTCCTGCGTTGGGGCTGAGATCCGGTATACCATGTGGTTCCCCTCTACCACCCGGCCATCCGCCTCGGTTTTGCAGGCTTTGATGAGCTGCCCCTTGTTGTTGGGGATGTAAAGCTCAAAGCAGTTCTGGGGATGACAGGGGAAGGGCAAAGGTGAGAGCCAGCCCTGGGCAGAGGTGGCGCACCCCGGCAGGAAGGTGTACAGAGAGGATCTCACCGGTTTCCGGGGGTCATCCACCTCTCGGATGCTCAGATTTTCCAGGGGGATGATTCCTCGGGGCTCCTTGTCCTGAAGAAGCAAGTTGGATGGAACTCAGACTTCCAAATCCTCACCCCACTCTGCCTCTCTCAGCCCGAGTCCAGGCTCCCAGACCCTCCTCCCAGGACCCCAGAGCCCAGCCCAGGTCACCCTCACCGTCGTGTACTCAAAGTAGTAGAGGCAGTTGTCTGTGAGGATAAACCAACGCCGCTTCCACGTCTTCACCCGGCCCCCTGAAAGGGAAGGGGTGGGAGGGGGCCTGGGCTCAACGGAGGGGGACAGGGCCTCTGGGAGGTGGGAGGGGCGTAAGAGGCAAAGCAAGAGTGGGAGAGGCGGGGCTCCTGTGGCCTAGGATAAAGCCGCTGTGTAGGGGGAGACAGACAAGCAGGGACAGGCGTGTTGGGGCTCCAGGAATCGTCCACCCCCAGCTTGGGGCTTCACTTTTCTAAGTTTGTCAGTCCCCCCTGCTGTGGGCCGGAGGCCAGGGCAGCCCCCTCCCCTCTCTAGTGATGGGGGACAAGGACAGATCGTGTACCTACCTCCTGGGGCAGACAGCGAGAAAGCAGGCAGGACCAGGTGCAGGAGAAGGGAAGGCGGGAGAGCGGAGCACCCCAAGAGCCGCAGGCGACAGAAATAGGGTGGGTGCGGGGCGGGATGTGCAGGGGGCGGGGCAGAGAGGCAAACAGGAGACAGAGAAACACGCAGAGGGAGGGGAGGGAGAGAGAGGGAAGAAAACCAGTTACATCCACATGAGGGGCAGATGGCCGGGGCCCCTCCCTCCCAGAGAGGCCAAGGGCCCTGAGCCCCAGGTGGAGGCCTGGAAAACCCCTTGCATGGGCAGAGGGCCCCAGCCCACCCACTAAGGTCTGTCCCAGGCCAGGAGAGTCCTCCCTTGACATGGTGAAAGTGCCTCTCCCCTGTAGGTGGGAGGAGGCAAAAACCCCAGTCTTTGGTCTGAGGTGGGTGTGGGGGCCCATCTCAGCTCCTGCACAAACTGGCTGTGTGACCTCAGGACACTCTCTTGGCCTCTCTGGACTCCAGCCTGGAGACTCACTTGGGCCCACACCTTCCTGTGGCAAAAGGACCCACTTCTGGCTTCCTCATGGGCCCAGGGTTAAACAGTGAAAGTCATAATGGCTTTTATTAGCCATGAAGTAGAAACTGCGGCCGCCCATCTCCACTCCTGCACTGCCACCTTTAAGGAAGGGATGCCCCTCTCAACTGGCATAACGGGAACAGAGGCTCTCTGGCCAGAAATGTCCCTGGGGCTGGGCAGCCTTAGATGAGGCCCAGAGCCAAAATGAAAAGTGAGCCTCAATTTCCTTATCTGGGAAATGGGAAAGGTTGCTGCTGACGGAGTATTTTTTTTTGAGACGGAGTTTCACTCTTGTTGCCCAGGCTGGAGTGCAACAGCATGAACTCGGATCACTGCTACCTCCACCCACCTCCTGGGTTCAAGCAATTCTCCTGCCTCAGCCTCCTAAGTAGCCGGAACTACAGGCGTGCGCCACCACGCCAGGCTAATTTTTGTAGACAGGGTTTCACTATGTTGGCCAGGATGGTCTCGATCTCTTGACCTCCTGAATCACCTGCTTTGGCCTCCCAAAGTGCTGGGATTAGAGGCGTGAGCCACTGCGACTGGCACAGGAGCAGTTTTGAGGGAAGCAGCTCCTTGTGAGGCTGGCGCCTTCCTGCTTCTCTTTCTAGCCTGCTCACTGCCAGGGCACCTCGAGGACTGTCAATTTCCCCCAGCACCGCCTGCCTTCCTTGGATCCAATACAAGATGGGGACTGGGGTTGGCTGAACAGTGATTTGCATGTATTTTTATTTGAGAGAGATGGGGTCTTCTGCCGCCCAGGCCGAGGTGCAGCCGCACAATCACGACTCACTGCAGTCTTGACCACTCGGGCTCAAGCAATCCTCCTGCGCCACCAGGCCCGGCTAATGTTTTTTTTGTAGAGATGGGGGTCTCACTATATTATTGCCCAGGTTGGTCTCAAAGTCCTGGCCTCTAGCAATCCTCCTGTCTTGGCCTCCCAAAGTGCTGAAATTGCAGGAGTGGGCCACTGCGCCCAGCCTGACTTGCATATTTTACATTTACCAGGAAACCCTGGCATCTGCTGAGGTGGCGACGCCCCGGTTTAATAGCACAGTTCAGGCCAGGTGCAGTGGCTCACACCTATAATACCGGCACTTTGGGAGGCCAAGGTGGGTCACAAGTTAGAGACCAGTGTGACAAACGTGGTAAAACCCCCGTTTCTACTAAAAAAAAAAAAACACAAAAATCAGCCCAGCATGGTGGTGCATGCCTGTAATCCCAACTACTCAGGAGGCTGAGGCAGGAGAATCACTTGAACCTGGGAGGGAGAGGTTGCAGTGAGCCGTGATCAAGTCACTGCACTCCAGCCTGGGCGAGAGTGAGACTCTGTCCCCAAAAAAAAAAAAAAAAAAAAAAAAAAGCACAGTTCCACATGGGGAGTCCCCCAAGAGGCAGAGGCCGAAGCAGCCTTGTCCAGTCCTCCTTCCAAGAAGCCTGGCCTTGATGCCCTTCCCTGAGCTGGAAGCTTCCTCTGAGTTCTCCTGCTGTCCCGGGAAGCCTCCATTGTTGCAGCGGATGGTACTTCTCAGATCCGTCTCTCTGGAGCAGCTGTGCCCGCTTCTCTGTTGTAAACCACATCTAACTCCCAGGTGGCACCTGCTGTTACCAGGCGCCGCTCCAGGCCAGCGGCTTTCAAGCTCACCTATACATTGGGAGCTCCTGGGGAACTTTAACCATGACTGATGACCCTCCTGCCTCTGAGAGCCTGACTTCAGAAGTCTGTGGCCTGGCCACCGGAGTTTTCCAAGTGCCCAGACGAATCTCATGTGCAGCCAGGGCTGAGAACAACTCCAATCCTCGTGCTAGCTCCTCACCACGCTACCATCCTGTCTGATCCATACTAACCGACCGTGAATGCGCCAGTGCCACATGTTACAACGAAGACTCCCCTCTCCATCCCTGCTGTGCCTCCCAACTCATCTGCACCAGCCCTGGTTATTCCCTCAGCGGCCAGGAGCCAGAATCTGGGATAGATTTCCTCGCTTGTTGGGTTCTTTTCTGCCTGTGGGTGGTGTTTCAGGAAGGATGGCACCTGGGACAGCCAGGGCTCTGGGCCTGATGCCTTGGAGCACAGGGTCGGTCCTGCCTGGGATCCTGGGAATTCTTCAACTATTGCCAAGGGAAATAACAGGTTCCAGAGGTGGGCCTCCCTCAGGCTGGATTAATGCAGTGTAGAGAAGCCAGAGTGAACTCTCCCCGACAAAAGGACAGCGTCACCTGCCTCTCACTGCCTCCTCAGCCCAGCTTAGGGCCTGGCACAGAAGGGCTCCATGAACATCTGTGGGTAAAGGGAAGGGGCTGGCCAGGCCCAGCGCGCAGGACTGATTTTATTTTCAGCCCCATTTTTTGGGTGTGGAAAACTGAGGTTCAGAGAGGTCATATCATTTGCCCCAGCAGGTTTGTGCGGAAGCTGAGTCCAGGCCCAGGCCCACTAACTTCCCCCGAGGAGGGACCAGCGGGGCGGGAGGGCACGTACCCAGCTTCAGGAGCCAGCCCTCCCGGTCCGGGTTGAAGAAGGTGTGGGTCAGGTCGTTCCCGTCATCCTCAGGAATCTTGAAGGGCTCATTTCGGATGCTGTCGTAGAGGTTCTGAGGAGCAAAGGCTGCATCGGCCACTCCAGGCCCCAGGACTCCCTGGGGTTACTCAGGGTCGGGGAGCAGGGAGACCCGGGTGGGATGATTCATGATGGGGAAGAGGGGCAGGCTGGGGAGGGGCAAGTAGAAGGCAGAGAAGTGGAGGGAGGCCGAGGTGGGAGAGGAAAGAAGAGATGCCCAGGTGACAGGTGGAGAAGCCAGCTGCATCCTCAGAGAAACAGACAGGTGGAGAAGCCAGCTGCATCCTCAGAGAAACAGACAGATGGGGAATGAGGCCAACTGAGAGCCGGGAGGTGAGACAGCCAGAGAGAGAAAGACAGGCCAATAAAGTCAGGGCCAGCGCCTGAGACAGTCAAGAAGAGAAGCAACGGAAGAGAGAGAGAGACACACACAGAGAGGGAAAAGATCACGCATGAGCTAGCATGATCACGCCATCTGGGGGGTGACAGCAGACACCAGTGACCCCGGGTAGACAGCTCAGGCACTAGGAGACCACAGGTGGGGCGGGGGTGTCTGTGGCAGGAAGAGGGACAGGACTGAGGGGCAGGGAATAGGGGCTTACCCTGAGCAGCTCCTCAGGCAGGTCCCCGCCCTCGTTGATGCCCCGGTTCATGGCCACGAAGCGCTCCAGGCCCGGCTTGTCGCGGACATTGGGGTTGTGGAGGCTGGTGTTGAGCATGATGACAGCGAAGGACAGCACATAGCACGTGTCTGCATGGGACAGGACAGGTGGTGACGACCCAGGCATGTCAGCCCCCAGCGCCCCCCTCCCCAGGACCCAGGATTCCCGTCTCCCAGCCCCGTCCCTCCCTTAGGCCTAGGAGCCTGGCCCTGTCTCCTCTTTCCCAGGACCCAGGAGTCAGGGCCGCACCTGTGGACTGGAAAACTCCAGGGTTGCACAGGCAGTATCGCTGGGCGAAGGCCTCCATCATCCGGTCAATTTTCTGGGCCTCTCCCGGGAGGCGAAAGCTCCATAGAAACTGCCTGGGTTGGGCAGGGGCCGGGAGTGAGTGCCAGGGCTGGCAGAAGCCTGTCCCCACTCTCAGTCCCTGTGTGGGGAACTGGTCCATGAGGAAACCCAAACTTCCGGCCTCAGCAGTTGGTTCAGGTATGGTCACGTAATCCAATCTGACCAATGGGCACTGGCCATGGGAGTGTTGTGCATTGCTACAGAAATAGCCTCTTTCTGCTAAGTTTGCTAGACAGGTCTGGGGTTGTAATCAGGTAAGAGGGTCTGCAGAGAGCAATGCTGACACACTGCTCACACTTTGTCTCAGTGGTGAACACAAGAGACAAAGAAAGTTGACTTTTTGCCACTATTTTGGCTCCTGGATATAGCTATGCCTGAAGGAGGCCATAAGCCCAGACTCTGATAGTAAAGGACACACTCAGTTCCCTAGTTTTTCTTTCTGTGTTTTTCTTTCTTTTTTTTTTTTTTAAAGATGGGGTTTCACCATGATGGCCAGGCTGGTCTTGATCTCCTAACCTCAGGTGATCCACCCACCTCAGCCTCCCAAAGTGTTAGGATTACAGGCGTGAGCCATCGTGCTTGGCCTGTTTTTGTGTTATTCTTGAGTAAAGTTTGTTGCTTGTAACTAGAAAAGCCCTGTAACTAGAAAAGCCCTGACAGGTACGTTCCTGCCCTTCCAGATCCCTCCCCCTCACTCACCTGAGGGCCTGCACCAGATTGAGGTCGGTGAACTCATGCAGATCCACAAAAGCATGGAGTACTGCCAGGTTCAGCTCTTCCCTGGAAGGACAGGACAGAATCACATCCAGTTTGGAGACGACGGGGCAGGAGTGGGCAGGAAGCAGGGCCCCAGGGAAGCTGTGCCCACTCTTCAGCACCACAGCTGCCCTCTGCAGAGGGTGAAGCTTCCCACTGGGCTCCCACACAGGCCTGGCCCTGGGGTGGGGGATGCTCAGAACACACTTTTGGGAGGAATACCTGCCTTGGGAACCCTGGTTAGGCCGGACCTTTGCACAGTTGGGAGAAACGCGGCAAGAACATATGCCACTGACCAGCACCTCTCTCAAATGATCCCCACACTCCCCAGATATCCAGACACAGTCCCCACAGCCGCCAGACACCCAGAGATGCTTCCCACACACCCCAGATCTCTATAAATCCCTGATTCCCAGAAGTCCACAGATGGCCTCCAATCATCTGATTCCCGTCCAGTCCCATGCATCCTAGGCTTACAAATGACGCCCACAACTCCTAGGCGTCCACGAGGGCCCAATAGTCCCCACAGCTCCCAGCTGACCACATGGTGCCCATGCACAGCCATGGTCCACCCATGGTTCTCACGCTCCCAAGATACTTGAGAGATGTTCTCCACTGTTCAGATATAAATGGATGCCTCTCCAGACCCCCGCCCCAGGGAATTCCAGAAGGTCCCTGCACCCCCAGATGCTTCAGTTGGCCGCAGGCTCTCCTAACCCCCGTGTCAGTCCATTCTGTCAGTCTGAAGGATGATCTGCCAGAGCCTCTCTGATGTCCCACCTGTGAGCTGCCAGTGTAAGGGCAGGAGCTGGGCATGGGGGGGCGGGTGAGAAACCCCACGGGAGCTGAGTGGTGGCCATACCTCTCCCCCAGGTAGTCCCCGATGGCGGTCTTGTTCAGCCCCTCGCCCTTGTATAGGAAGCGGGCGATCTCCTCGGGTGTGTTCTGCAGAAGTTCGTTCTCCACCAAAAACTGGATGCCCTGGTGGTGGGGACAACAAGGTCTCAGTGCTGAGGGCCAGAAAGCCACTCCCCTCACCTCCCGGGGAATCTCAGCATCCATACCTACCCCCACCCTCAACAGACCAGGGCCAGCTTCATTTTCAGCCTTCTCACAGGTCCTTAAACAGCATTCTTCCTGACTTAGAGCCTTTGCAACTCATGGCCCACCCTTTCTGCCTTTGCCTGGTTAACTGCAGCATCAACAACAGGGTCTGGCTAGGAACAGGGGCTCACTACATTTTCTTTCTTTTTTTTTTTTTTTGACAGTCTCATCCTATCTCCAGGCTGGAGTGCAACGGTGTCATCGCAGCTCACTGCGATTCCGTTTTCCGGTTTCAAGCAATTCTCCTGCCTCAGCCTCCTGAGTAGCTGGGACTACAGGCACGCACCACCACACCTGGCTAATTTTTTTGTTTTTCAGTAGCGATGAGGTTTCACCATGCTAGTCAAGATGGTCTCGATCTCTTGACCTTGTGATCCACCTGCCTTGGCCTCCCAAAGTGCTGGGATTACAGGTGTGAGCCACCACGTCCGGCTTTTTTTTTTTTTTTTTTTTTGAGACCTGGTCTTGCTCTGTTGCAGACTGAAGTGCAGTGGCGTGATCACAGCTTACTGCAGCTTTGAACTGCTGGGCTCAAGGGATCCTCTCACTTCAGCCTCCTGAGAAGCTGGAACTATGGGCATGAACCAACACACTTGGATAATTGATTTACTTATTTACATCTTTTCTAGAAATGAGTTATCACTATGCTGCCCAGGCTGGTCTCAAATTCCTGCTTCAAGCAATCCTCCCGCCTCGGCATCTCGAAGCACTGGGATTACAGGCGTAAGCCAACTAAACCAGCCAATAAACAGTTACTGAATGACTGAAAAGGGTTCCAGTTGCTTCAGGAAACAATAACGTGACAACCTGTTAGCAGTCTCTCCAGGGCTGTGAACTCAAGAGCCCAGGCTAGGCTGAGGCTTCTCTGAGTCTCTGTGCTATGAAGACCTCTCTGTTACTGCCGTATCTCACTCTGAATTGTGCTACTGGTGTTCAGGGAGTGCAGGGCAGCATCTGATTCTTCTTTTGGTCTCTAGCATCATCCTATACAGGATCAGACTCTCAAGAGGCCTCGGGAAATGGGTGTTAAATGAGTATGTGAACAGGCTGGGCATGGTAGCTCACGCCTCTAATCCCAGCACTTTGGGAGGCTGAGGCAGGCGGATCATGTAAGTTCAGGAGTTTGAAACCAGCCTGCCCAATATGATGAAACCCCTTCTCTACTAAAAATAGAAAACTTAGCTGGGCATGGTGGCGAGAGCCTGTAAGCCCAGCTACTCGAAAGGCTGAGGCAGGAGGATTGCTTGAACCCAGGAGGCAGAGGTTGCAGTGAGCCAAGATCGCATCACTGCACTCCAGCCTGGGTGAAAGAGCAAGATAATGTAAAAAAAAAAAAGTGAACAAAACACTTTCCTGAACCTGGTGAACACCTATTCATCCTTCAAACCTGACCTGAATGTCTCCTCCTCAAAGAAGCCCTCCCTGACTCTACCAGCCTGCCCCCTCCCGATACCTCTGTCATGGCAGTCAACTCTCGTTTGTGCACGCCCCTTTGTCCACAGCCCCTACAAGACTCGGAGCTCATCCTGAGACTAGAAGAAGTGCACCCATACAAGTAGACAGTGAAAGAGAACCCTCCCGGCAGGGGACGCAACTAGAGTGTCAGGAGGGCTGGAACACTTTGTGTGTTCCAAACGGACAGCCAGTCTCTGAATCCAGGGATTAGGACCAAGTCTGTCCACCTAGAACAGACCCGGAGCCATGCTTCTGGAACCCGGAGGTGCCAGAAGTTCCTGCCTGGACGTCTGCCCAGCTGATCCCAGTCCTGTGGCCCCAAGCACCTTCTTGGGGTCCATGTTGAACTTCTTCCTGCCCATTGCCATCTTCCGGTTCCGCTGCAAGGTCTTACTGCAGGGGCAGAGAGCAGGGTAGGGGGCGGAAGGTCAACGCCTGGACATCCCTGGCCTCGGCCAACCCCACGCCCCCCAGGTCGTCCACCCCAGCCCTCACCTGCCCTCATTGGCCTCTAGCCCCTCCACCTCGCTCATGGCTTCGCTGAGCTCCTCCCGCAGGCGCTGAATCTCCACCAGCAGCTCCTGCTTCCGCCGCCGGATGTTCTCCAGCTCCATCCGCTCCTCCGGAGTCAGATCTGGGGGTTCTGGGGGTCAGGGTCAAGGTTTCAAAGTCAGTGCTGGGGGCTGTGAGCCGGGATTCCCGCAGTCTGGGGGTGGAGAGAGCTCGGAAAGGACGCATAAGGGGCTTCCTATGTCTGGACCGAAGAATGGACTGGGGGCCTGGATTCCAAACTCTCGAGTCCTGGGGAAGGAGTGGACTTGGGGCCCGGATTCCTGAGTCTGAGGGAGAAGGGGAATGGGTGCTTGAGCTCTTAGGTCTGAGGGAAGAAAGGGCTGGGAGCCGGAATTTCTAGGTCCATTACTTGGAAGGGGACTGAGGCCTTGGTTTTCTGACTCCATTCCTGGAGAGGTGGTAGCTGAGGACCTGGCTGTCCGGACTCCTGGGTCCATGAAAAGTCACTACAGCCAAGGGAACTGATGACAGCTCGACAGAGTTGGGAAGGTGGGGCGGGACATCGACGGCCCCCGCCCCCCAAGATTTCTCCCCTCCCGGCAACCCGAGTGCCCCTCCCCGGCAGGCGCCGGGCTCGCCCGCCCCTCCAGCTGGAATGGTTCCGCCTCGGCCGCGCCTCCACCGCTCCATGCCGCCCCTCCCGCCGCCACCGGAAACAGGCTCAGCCCAAACAATGGCCTGGAACACCCCGCTCTCGGTTCCAGCCGGAAGCCCGTCCAGCGCCCCACAAAAGCGGCGCGACGAGGCTACGACGGGACCCAACGCCTCTGGGCGGCACGCACCAGGAAGAAACGTTCGCGGCGGAACGTTCAGGAGAAAACGCTCTAGCAGCTCCCATCCGACCCCGCCCCTCCACGACCTACCATAGACGCCGTCCTCCATGGCGGCTAGGAAGGCCCGCGGGGAGTCCGGGGCGGTCCCGCCAGTCGGGCCTGGATCCGCGTTGGCCCGCGGGCTCTGGTGAGCCCGCTCAAACGCCCCGGGAGCCACCGCCGCCTCCTCAGCGCCAGTCCTCAGCGCTGAAAAGACCCTCCCTTCGTCTTCCAACCGCCCCTTCAGTAGGGACCGCCCCTCTTTTTGACACCGTCCAATCCACAGTGGGCGCTTTCGTCCTCCCCGCCCTCGACACCAAAGGATCGTCCTCCAGGGCCAAGAGTCGCACAAAAAGCTGATATAGGTATGTCTGGCCGGAGGTAGACGGCCCGCGGGACCAATCGGAGTGCAGGCAGGGCAGCAGGCCCCGCCTCTGAAACAACAGATGGCCCTTGACAGGCTTGCTCTCCAATGAGAAGCCTCGGAAAAGTGTTGCGTGGAGGCGGAGCTATGTGGAGCAGACATGACGGCGCCTGCTCAAAGGCCTTGGACACTGGGAGACTAGGTCAACCGAACCCCGCCTCCAGCGGTGCGTTGCTAGGGGGAGGTACTTTGTTAGTCTTGTTGCCAGGGGGCGGGGCTACAACTGTGGCTTGTTTTTGAAAGCCACACCTCCTAGCAGCCCATGCTGGCTTCTGACCGCAGAGGTTGCCATGCAACGGGGAGCAGCTTTGAGCCTCTTTTGCATTTCTTCTCCGGGTACTTTCCTCTCCTCTCAGTCCCTTCTAATCTTCAAACTCCTTACCATCATCTATGCCCTCCCCATTCCCCTTAGCCTCTTCAGAGTCATGGAGTGGTGAAACGAAAGATTTATTCTTTTTTTTTTTTGAAGTGGAGCCCTGCTCTGTCACCCAGGCAGTGGCGCGATCTCGGCTCACTGCGACCTCTGCCTCCCGGGTTCAAGAGATTCTCCTGCCTCAGCCTCCCGAGTAGCTGGGACTACAGGCACACGCCACCACTCCTGGCTAATTTTCGTTTTTTTTTTTTTTAAATAGAGTCGGGGTTTCACCGTGTGGGTCAGGCTGATCTTGAACTCCTGACCTTGTGATCCGCCCGCCTTGACCTCCCAAAGTGCTGGGATTACAGGTGTGAGCCACTGCGTCCGCCCAAGATTTACTTTTTCTAAATGCTATGCTATTTGGTGTCATGGAGAATGGAACATGGGAAGGTCAAATTTTGTGAAAGCATAAGCTCGGCCTTCCTTCCCTTAGCTTGTATCACCCTCCTAATACTCCTCCCTTCCACAAGTATCCTCCCCCTAAGACAACTCCCCTTTCCTCAGCATCCTCCCTCCTCTCTGATTCCTTCTCCCATCTCAGAAGGCCTTTTCTTTCTCTCTGGCTTCCCTCACTTCACCGTCCCTCTCATCCTCTCATACCCTTGCCCCTCCCCTTTTTTGGGGAGTATGGAGTTTCACTCCTGTTGCCCAGGCTGGAGTGAAGTGGCACAATCTCGGCTTACTGCAACCTCAACCCGCCAGGTTCAAGCGATTCTCCTGCCTCAGCCTCCCAAGTGTTGGGGGGAGACCTGGTAAGTGCCAAGGCAGGAGTCCGAAGCCTCAGCCTATTCCCATAGAAGTAATGAAGAAGAAAATAACTAGAGGTATAACCATAGTAGTTACTCATAGGTGATCTTAGTTCTTCTACTAATGACTCTCAGGTCGCAAAGTGTGAACCTGGGGTGACGTTGTGAAAGGAATGACCCTAAGGCAAGATGCTTTAAACGTCTGTCATACCCATGTAAAGGCTGCTGGAGGGCGCCTTGGCTATGCAGCAGCACCAGCGCTGGGAAAGTGCCCGCTGTTTAGGAAGCTGCAGAAAGAGATGTCAGAGATGTCTCCTTCCCCCGGGGAGTTAGGAGAAAACTCCACTCCTCCAAACTCTTGCGGTAGGGCTGGCAGCTGTCAGGGAGGCCCGCAGACATCCGGGGGCGTAACTGTCTCTATGTGACGCTGTGCCTCAGCGGTCATGTTCCAGGTCCACTCTCATGTTCCGCTTCTGCACCTGGTTCCTTTTTTCTCAGAAGAGATAATCGGTAAAAGTAATATAAATCAGGGCCGGGCGAGGTGGCTCACGCCTGTAATCCCAGCACTTTGGGAGGCTGAGGCGGGTGGATCACGAGGTCAAGAGATCGAGACCATCCTGGTCAACATGGTGAAACCCCGTCTCTACTAAAAATACAAAAAATTAGCTGGGCATGGTGGCGCGTGCCTGTAATCCCAGCTACTCAGGAGGCTGAGGCAGGAGAATTGCCTGAACCCAGGAGGCAGAGGTTGCAGTGAGCCGAGATCATGCCATTGCACTCCAGCCTGGGTAACAAGAGCAAAACTCCATCTCAAAAAAAAAAAAAAAGTAATATAAATCTTTATGTCTTTGTTCTTTCTTGACAGCTATGGAAAAGTGCTGACACGTTATGCTCCTTACCTCATCTCGGCTACTAGAAAGTCTTGGGCCCCCGCCTAAGACGTTGGGCCACTCTCTTTTCTCTATCTCTGTGTCTTGTGTCTTTTATTTCTAGTTTCTCCTCTCCACACCAGCAGAGAGGGGCTCAAAAGACCCTGTAGGGCTGGACCCTACACCAAGTAGCTGGGATTACAGGCGCCCACCACCATGCCTGGCTAATTTTGTGTTTTCAGTAGAATCAGGGTTTTGCCATGTTGGCCAGGCTGGTCTCAAACTCCTGAACTCAGGTGATCCACCTGCCTCAGCCTCCCAAAGTGCTGGGATTACAGGCATGAACCACCACGCCCAACCACCCTTGCCCTTCTTAAACTCCTCTCTTCTCTGAGAGTCCTTCCTCCTCTAAGGCCCCTTCCCCAGCCCCAGCCTCTGGGTCCCATTACTTGGAATAGGGCCAAGGGCCTGGGTGAAATGGGGAAGCAGGGCACCCCTGTAAAGAGGAAAGCTGTCATGGGGGCTGAAGTGGTGTCTGGGCCTTGTCCTCATTTGCTGTCCCTGGGCTGGGCAGGTGGGAACGGATTTGGGGCCAGGACCTGGTTAAGCTGTCGGATTAGACATGGAGGCTCTTAATCCCCTCACTGACCTTTACGAGTGGCCAAGGCCCTGCCCTTCTCAGTGGAAAACCAGGCTGGGCTTCCCTGCTCCCACCCTCCTTCCAAACAAAACCCCCTTCGTGCCCCTTCACTTCCAACTTAACATCGTTTCCCAACACTGCATTTCCATGGCCCCCTGCCCCCATCCCTTCCTACCCCAGACACCTGAGCTGGAAGGAAAGCCAGCTAATTAATTCCATCCGGTTATTACATGGGGATTCTGAAGGATAAAGGGAGATGGAGAAGCCGGAGCGGGCACCTGGGTTGATGCAGCACTTGTGAAGGCTGAATGCCAGTGACGGTGACTGCCCTCAGTCCAGAATACAGGCTGGGAACACGTCCTCCTCCCTGTCACTGACTGCCTCTGCAGCTGGCTCCCAGCCTGTAGAGTACTTAGGTAGATGGCAACATGGGCAGGGGGCCAGGTCCCAGGACCCATGCTCGAGAAACACATTTGCAGACACACCCTCTGGGGCTCCTAATTCTTTAATCTGGGGGAGAGGTCTCCCCCTAAAACACCCACAGTGGGAAGAACCTTGGTGTCCAGAGCTACTTCCTCCTTCCCAGGTCCCCAAGCTGGGCCAGGGAAGGGACTCTGGCTGTGAGCCACAGCCCACGCCTCCCCTTGCCCTGTGATTCAGACACCTGAGTTCAGAGCCAGCCTCCCCGAGTGTCTTCCATCCCAACCTCCCCGTATGATCGAGCACTGGGGGGAGTGGGGAAATCCCCAGGACTCAAATCCCCATCCCACCCTTGGTGAGGTGAGGACTCATCCTGCTGGAAAGGCCCCTGAAGGACTTTACAGGTGGGGAAACTGACATGAAGCGGAGTCCGAAGGGACACAGTAGTTGGGGCGGCACTGGGATTTACAGCAAAGCTTCTTGGGCCCTTGAAAAGGACCTCATTCCAATTAGCTAGTGCTCCATTTTTAAGCTTGTTGTAGGGACCAGGGGAAAAAATAGATATCTGTATTTATATTATATATATACATATATATAATACACATATATGTATAAGATCTTTAAGAAGTAGACACATGGCCGAGCACGGTGGCTCACATGTGTAATCCCAGCACTTTTGGAGGCTGAGGTGGGTGGATCATCTGAGGTCGGGAGTTCAAGACCAACCTGGCCAACATGGCAAAACCCCATCTCTACTAAAAATACAAAAATTAGCCAGGCATAGTGGCTCATGTCTGCCATCCCAGCCACTTGGGAGGCTGAGGCAGGAGAATCGCTTGAAACTGGGAGGTGGGGGTTGCAGTGAGCTGAGGTCGCACCTCTGCACTCCAGCCTGGGCGACAGAGTGAGGCTCTGTCTCAAAAAAAGAAAAAAAGAAAGAAATAGACACATATCACTAGGTTCAGGGTTCCAGAGCATTCTAGACTCACCAGCCCTGGGCCTCCCCCTTCCTTTGTCCACTGATCAGCCCTGTGCCCTCCAGGGTCTGGCCTGAACCCTCACCTCCTAGGTCAGCCCAGAAATGCTGCTTCTCAAGTCCTGAGTCCGCTTCCTAGCACTGCCAAGCGTTCCACCTGGAGGTGACGAGAACTTCCAGGCTTTGGTCATGGACAACTCTGGAACCCCGGAGCCTTACTTCCTTTTGGCATTACAGAACCACAAGACGTCATCTAGAATCATTGAGATTCTCAACTCCATTGGCCAAACTGGAACCAGGAAAATCTTAGACATCCAGAATGGCCCCTGCTTCCTCGACTCTGTGATCAGTCTAGACCCACAGAATCCCGATTCCCTTTAGACATTCTAGAATGGCACTTTTAAGAAAAACAACCCACCCTGTGGATCCTTTAGAAACATTGCTTACTCTCTTGGCTGGATGCTCTACAGCCCAAAGACGGAGTCGTCTCATGTCAAGAACTCCTAATCTGTCACTTTAGCCTTTCTGAACCCACAGACTCACCCATGTTTTGTGCATTCTAGAAACATTACTCTTTAGTTTCTGGAGCAGTTCAACTCTCCAGGTCAGAGCTGTCCTAGAATCACCAGTGCCTGCTTCTGTGGTCAACCTAGACGCACAGAATCTCAACTAATGGGCTTCCTGGAACCACAGGTCTTTGCTTGACTTGCAGTCACCATTTCTTTTTGTCTTTGGTCAACCAAGATGATCCTGAATGCCCGGGGCATTCCATGACCTTCCCTCCTAGGTGGTCTACAACCAGTGTTTTGCTGCTGGGTTGGCTGAGTTGAGAAGCAACACTCCCTGGAATCTTAGGTGAATCCAGACCTACAAACCCTTGATCTGTGATGCTGGCCAAGAACTCCCAGCTTGCTCCCCCAGAAGTGGTCTATACCACTGGTTTCTCACCCTGGTAGCAATCCAGTTCCACCCATACAGAGGAATCTAGAACCAGCAGTCTTTTCCTCTTGGGTGATCCAGAATTCTGGTGAGACTCAGGAATTAGGCTCATAAAGGGGTCTCAGGAGGGAGCACAGAAGCAGAGGAATTAAGGTCCAGAATGTCCATGGTGGGTCACCATGCATAGCAGAACCTTACCACCTAGCCATTTGCCCAGCAGGCCTGTTGGTCGAGAACACATGCCCCCATCCCAGGAGAGAACCCTATCTCTCCATCTTGCTACCTCGGGGAAGGGGGCACATACGGGGAAGGGGACATCAGTTTGCATCACGGAGGCAGGGTCAGCGTCAGGGTCGGTGTGAGAACTCGGGGGCTGGTAGCCCCATCTTCTGTCTCCTCCCCATTCCCTCCCTCGGCCTCATCGTCCTCATCTTCCTCCTGGCAGCAGCTCAGAGCAAGTTCATTCTCATAACAAAATGCAGTCAGAGAGCCGGGGAAGCTAGACTTGAGGCTGTGGGAAGCCTGCTCCGCCCGTTCATCCAGCTCCTTAGCACTGCAGACCGGCGTCCCTGGGACCTCGTAAGTGCGGTGGAAGTGTCGATAGTCAACCTCATACTGGGAGCCACGCTGGAAGAGAACTGGCTCAAAACGATGGCCCCAGAGCAGTTCACCAGGGAGGTAGGATGAGCGACACTGTGTGGTCATGGCTGTGGCCTCAACCATCCCCTCGAGAATGACCACCAGCTCGAAGTCAGCCCTGGCCAGCTCAGCGCGTCCTAGCTCATACAGAGGACTGGCCGAGTCGATCTCATGGACGATGGTGATGGGGGACACGAGGAAGATACGATCGGTGCCTCCATCAAAGCCCACGTCCACATCCTGGTGGTCCAGAGGGATGTACTCACCCTCTGGGGTCACACGAGGCTGCAGTAGGAGACAAAGAGCCAAAGAAAAGGGAGCAAGGAGCAGAGACAGGCAGAGATGGAGAGAGAGAGAAGAAGAGATGCAGAGAAAGAAGGCAAAGACCACAGGAGTGAAGGAAAGGGTGAGAACACGAAACCAGAGATGGGGCCGGCAGCCCAGAGAGCAAGGAAGTCAGAGACACAGGGGAGGGCACAGAAACCCAGCGAGAGGGAGCAAGAGACCCAGGAGGGGAGGATGGAGGTCCAGAGAAAGCATGGGATGGGACAAACCCAGAGATAAAGGGAGAGGAAAGAGACTCAGGGTTTGGGAATAGAAAATGGGAAGAGGGGCATGGCAGGGGAAGAGAAAGAGGAGAGAGGGACAGAGTGATATTGGCATAGACACAGAAATCGGCAAGACAGAGATGAAATCGAGGAGACAACGGAAAATAAGGATGACATCCAACAGAGAATTGGAGGAGAAGGAGAGAAAAATGGCTTTTAGTATGTGGCCAGAGAAAGATAAACCAGATGATAAGAAGGGGGAGTCAGGACGACCCAGGTCAAATGCTCTGCAGCCACCGTGCCTCAGGCTTATCCCTGGGCCCTCCCCTGAGCTATTCCAGCTGCCAGCCCAACGGCAACCCCCTTCCTAGCATTGTGCGTGTGGGCACGCTTTTCAGGGGTCTGGGTGTGTCGCCCCTGCCTACCAGCTGGGTCCACAACCACCTCCCAGGCCATGTCACTGCCTCACAGACTTCTGCAAGAGCAAGTGTCCCTCCTAGTCATGAATCCTGGCATCTCAAATCGTCAGGCAGGAGACAGAAGTGGGAGGTGGGCACCTATCCTCCTCTTGTAACTGTCTCCGGGAGCCCCAAGTAGAGGAATCCTAGGGGTGGCTGGGAGTTGCAGCTCCCACCACCCCCAATCCTCTCCAAGTCAAGCCTCAGCCCAGAGTTCTAAAGTCACTTTACGGCCAGGCGCAGTAGGTCACGCCTGTAATCCCAGCACTTTGGGAGGCCAAGGCGGTGGATCGCCTGAGGTCAGGAGTTCAAGATCAGCCTGGCCAATGTGACAAAACCCTATCTCTCCTAAAAACACAAAAATTAGTCAGGACTAGTGGTAGGCATCTGTAATCCCAGCTATTCTGGAGGCTGAGGCAGGAGAATAACTTGAAACCAGGAGGCGGAGATAATGCCACTGTACTCCAGCCTCGGTAACAGAGCAAAACTCCATCTCATAAAAAAATAAATAAAGTCACTTTACTTGGGCAAGGGCAGCTGCTGGCCCAGAGTTTCTTGGGAACGGAGATGTTTGAGCAATTTGACCACAATTCTAGGAACACTAAGGCCCCTTCCTCAGGGTGCAGGAGGAAGCCACTACCCCAGGGGCCAGTGGGAGGTGCAGTTTCGTTTGGTTCCCAGCGGGATCCAAACTCAGAGGGCAGGAGGCTGGTGGGACACAATGGGCTACTGAGGTGGATTCTCCCACAGATGCCGCAGGACTGCATGCCTAGAAGCCTGGAGAACTGTGCTCCACAGTGATGAGCTACACCCATCCTGGGGCCTGCCTCTCCTGGGGGCCTCAAGTCATGGGCCCCCGTCTGTGTCACAGTGTCTGGTGGGAATTGTACACCTGAGCAATAGAACGGTCACTCATCTCCCCTCTACCCCCCCGCAAAACTGCATCTCACACCACCCCATCTTTGGGCAGGTCCCTTGACTCAGAAACTTCTGGGAATTACAGCCCAGAGCCTCCACAGGCCAGGAGTGGCCCTCTCGGGTCTAGACTCCCCACAATCCCACAGGTGGCCCATCCTCAAGCCACAGGAAGCTCTGCATGCCGCAAGTCCAGGCCTCCAGGAAGAGCTAGTCACAGACCTCTCTCTTGGGTTTACCTCCCCAGCTGCTCAGCAACCCCTCCGCAGTCCACAGGCCCCTGCCCCAGAGGCTGCTGGGAGCTGTAGTTCACACCCCCTCCAGGACCACACACCCCTAGCCCCCGGGCCTACATCTCTCACAATCCCCGAGGGCTCGCGGAGGGCCACGCCCCGCCTCCCCTCCGCACCTGCAGCAGCTGGGCCCGCACGTGGGCCTCCACCAGGTGGCTGCGGCGCAGGTTGCCGACGCGCCACATGAGGCAGAGGCGGTGGTCGCGCAGCGCCACGACGGCGTTCTCGCTGAAGACCAGCGTCTCGTTGCGCTTCTTGGGTTTGGCCATCTTGGCCATGACGGCGCCCACGACGAAGGCGTCGAGCACGCAGCCGGCGATGCACTGCAGCACCACGGCGGCCACGGCGGCCGGGCACTCCTCGGTGACGCTGCGCACGCCGTAGCCGATGGACGTCTGCGTCTCCAGCGCGAAGAGGAAGGCGGCCAGGAAGCTGGCCACGTGCGAGAAGCAGGGCGCGGGCGGTGGCGGGGCGGCCAGGTCGCCGTGCAGCGAGGCAATGAGCCAGAAGGCCAGGCCGAAGAGCAGCCAGGAGGCGAGGAAGGAGCAGGAGAACAGCAGGCACATCCAGCGCCAGCGCACGTCCACGCACGTGGTGAACAGGTCGCTCAGGTAGCGCGCGCCCTGGCCGCCCAGGTTCACGAAGCGCACGTTGCAGTGCCCGTCCTTCTTGACGAAGCGACCGCGGCGCCGGCCCACCGGTGACTGCACCGGCGCTGGCGCCCACCCGTTGCGGCACAGCCCTGGTCCGGCCTCCTCTTCATCGCCAGCCCGGCTGTCCCCAGAATCCAGGACGCCGCTAAGGCGGCGTAGGGCCCTGGCCAGGCCCATTGGGCGGAGGGACCCCCTCCACTTGGCCTACTGGGGGGCGGGTGCCCCCAACCTGCTGGAACAAGAAACCGGCAGAACCGTCAGGGGCTCCAGGAATGGGTGAGCTCATCGGCCAGGCATGCTCTCCAGTGGGGCTTAGTGTCCTCATCCGTCAAATGGGTGCAACTATACTCACTTTTCTTTTTCTTTTTGGAGATGGAGTCTTGCTCTGTCAGCCAGGCTGGAGTGCAATGGTGCAATCTCGGCTCACTGCAACCTCCACCTCCCGGGTTCAAGCGATTCTCCTGCCTCAGCCTCCTGAGTAGCTGGGGCCACAGGCACACGCCACCACACCCAGCTAATTTTTCTATTTTTAGTAGAGATGGGATTTCACCATGTTGCCCAGGCTGGTCTCGAATTCCTGATGTCAGGCGGTCCACCCACCTTGGCCTCCTAAAGTGCTAGGATTACAGGCCTGAGCCAACGGTATATATATATATATTTTTTAAATGAGACAGTCTCACTCTGTTGCCCAGGCTGGAGTGCTATGGTGCAATCTCGGCTCCCTGCAACCTTCACCTCCCGGGTTTAAGTGATTCTCCTGCCTCAGCCTCCCAAGTAGCTGGGACTATAGGCGCGTACCATCACACCCAGCTAATTTTTTGTATTTTTAGTAGAGACAGGTTTTACCATGTTAGCCAGGATGGTCTCAATCTCCTCCTCATGATCTGCCCGCCTCAGCCTTCCAAAGTGCTGGGATCACAAGTGTGAGCCACCGCACCCCGCTGCCACCTTCTTTTTAAGAATGTTTTATTAATTTAATTTTTGTTTTATAGAGACAGGGACCTGGCTGTATTTCCCAAGCTGGTCTCAAACTCCTGGCCTTAAGCGATCTTCTCTCCTCAGCCTCCAGAAGTGTTGGGATTACAGGCGTGAGCCATCTTACCCGGCCCATACTCACTTCCAGGTTGGAAGATGCAGAATAAGCAGCAATAATACTGTTAGTGGATACTTGTACAGCAGTGAAAATACTAGAACATTATGGCAGGTGCCACAGTAATTACAGCATGCATTTATACAGTGCTAAATTTATGTACTGAATTTATCATGTGTCCTATCAATTACGCTGTTTATACAGTTTGGAGGGTTTTTTTTTTTTTGTGATGGAGTCTAGCTCTGTTGCCCAGGCTGGTATGCAGTGGTGCAATCTTGGCTCACTGTAACCTCTGCCTCCCGGGTTCAAGCTATTCTCCTGTCTCAGCCTCCTGTGAAGCTGGGATTACAGGCATGCCCCACCACGCCTGGCTAATTTTTGCATTTTTAGTAGACATGGGGTTTCACCATGTTGGCCAGGCTGGTCTCAAACTCCCGACCTCTGGTGATCCGCCGCCTCAGCCTCCCAAAGTGCTGGGATTATAGGCGTGAGCCACCTCGCTCAGCCAGTTTGGAGGCTGTTGTAAGCACTTTACATGATTTTACATATTAGAGCCTCAGAGCAGGCCTATGAGGCAGACATCATTACCCCATTTTATAGATGAGGAAACTGAAGCACAGAAAGTTTAAGTAACTTCCCCAAGACCACAGCAAAGTAAAGTGGGATTTGAGTGCTAGCAGTCCAGCTCCAGAGGCCATGCTCGTAACTGTAAGGTGTAGCTGCTTCTTGACACAGAGAGATGCCTCAGTGCTCTGAGGTCAGCTGTGGTTCAAGAACAGGCTCACAAAGTAACAAAAGGAAAAACTTACATCAACGGAACTGAATCTGTAGGGGGAGGCCCGCAAGTGCCATGGCAAGGATCTGAAGCCTGTTCCCATGTAAGTACTGATTTAGAAAATTAGAAATGTAGGCACATAGTTATTCCTTTATATAATCATATATAATCTTATAGTTACTCATAAAGATACATACCCACTATAACCTTTAATTGTACTAATGACTCAGGTTATGAAGCATGGAACTGAGGTGACATTGTGAACAAGGTGACCCTAAGGCAAGATGCCCTAAGCCTCTGTCACGCCCGCATAAGGGCTGCTGGAGGGGAGGGCGCCTCGGCTGTGTGGCATCACCAGCTAGGGAAGGAGACGTCCAAAATGACAGACATGTCCTTCCCGGGGAAGTTAGGAGAAAACTCCGCTTCTCCAAGCTCTTGTGGCAAGGCCTGATGGCTCAGGGAGACCCGCAGACATCCGGGAGCTTAACTGTCTCCATGTGATGCTGTGCTTCGGTGCTCACGTTCCAGGTCTGCTCTCACGCTCCCCTTCTGCACCTGGTTTATCTTTTTCTTAAAAGCTAAGAATTAATAATGGTAACGTAATCTTAGTGTCCTTGATATTTGTGACAAATATATGAAGAGCTGTGACGCATTAGCTTTTTTCCTCGCCTCGGCTACTTGAAAGTCCTGGGCCCCTTATCTTCAAGACACGTGATTCGTGATTTACCTGACCCTACCACCGACCACCATTACCTCACCCTACCTTACCTGCCCCCTGCTTTGTACTCAATAAAAGTCAGAGCGTCTGGGCACTCGGGGCCACTGCAGGTCTCCGTGCTTTGGCTGGCAGTGGACTCCCGAGCCCACACTCTCTTCTCTATCTCTGTGTCTGCAGTCTCTTGTCTCCACACCAACAGGGAGGGGCTCACAGAACCCTATAAGGCTGGACGCTATAAATCAGAACTAAAAAACTTTTATTTTTTGAGATGGACTCTCAGTCTGTCACCCAGAATGGAGTGCAGTGGTGCACTCTCGGCTCACTGTGATCTCTGTCTCCTGGGTTCGAGGGGTTCTCCTGCCTCAGCCTCCCAAGTAGCTAGGATTACAGGTGTGCGCCACCACACCTGGCTAATTTTGGTATTTTTAGTAGAGATGGGGTTTTGCCATGTTGGCCAGACTGGTCTTGAACTCCTGACCTCAAGTGATCTTCCCACCTTGGGCTCCTAAAGTATTGGGATTACAGGCATGAGCCACTACACCCGGCCAGAACCAAAAAACCTTTGTGCTCCCAAAGAGACTATCAATAAAGTGAAGAAAGGCCAGGTGAGGTGGCACACACCTGCTTCCCAGTGCTTTGGGAGGCCAAGGCGGAAGGATCACTCGAGCCCAGGAGTTTATGACCAGCCTGGGAAACATAGCACAGGTCTTTAAAAAATAAAACATTAGCAGGAGGCTGAGGCAGGAGAATTGCCTGAACCCAGGAGGCAGAGGTTGCGGTGAGCCGAGATTGTGCCATTGCACTCCAGCCTGGGTAACGAGTGAAACTCCATCTCAAGTGAATGAATGAATGAATAAACAAACAAACAAACATTAGCCAGGTGTAGTGTTGCAAACCTGTAGTCCTAGTTACTTGGAAGCCTGAGGTGGGAGGATCACTGAAGCCCAGGAGTCTGAATTAAGACTGCACCACTGTACTCCAGCCTGGGTGAAAGAGCAAAACCTTGTCTCACAAATTCTTTTTACAAAAGGGAAAAAGACAACCCCCCAATGGGAGAAGATATTGTAGGTGCAAATCATATACTTGATGAGGAACTTGTATCTAGACAGACCTTGCAACTCAATAATGAAAAGATAAATAATGCTTTTTTTTCTGAGATAAGAGTCTCGCTCTGTCACCAGGCTGGAGAGCAGTGGTGCAATCTCGGCTCACTGCAACCTCCACCTCCTGGGTTCAAGAGATTCTGCTGCCTTAGCCTCCAGAGTAGCTGGAATTATAGACTCGCACCACCATGCGCAGCTAATTTTTCTAAGTAGAGACAGGGTTTCACCATGTTAGCCAGGCTGGTCCTGGCCTCAAGTGATCTACCCACCCTAACCTCCCAAAGTGCTGGGATTACAGGTGTCAGCCGCTGTGTCCAGCTCAAATAACCCAATTTAAAAGTGGGCAAAGGGGACCAGGCACAGCAGCTCATGCCTATAATGCTAACAGTTTGGGAGCCCAAGGCAGCTGGAACACTTGAGCTCAGGAGTTCGAGACCAGCCTGGCCAACATGGTGAAATCCTGCCTCTTACTAAAAATCCAAAATCAGCTTGGCCTACTGGTGCGTGTCTATAGTTCCAGCTACTCTGGAGGCCAAGGCACAAAAAAACCAAGAGAAGGATGTACAGACGTTTCTCCTAAGAAGATATACAAATGGCTCATAAACATATGAAAAGATGCTCCACGTCATTAGCCACCAGAGAAATGCAAATCAGAACCACAAGGGAATACCACTTTGCACCCACTTAGAATGGCTATAATAGGCCGGGTGTGGTGGCTCACACCTGTAATCCCAGCACTTTGGGAGGCCGAGGTGGGCGGATTCCTAGGTCAGGAGTTCGAGACCAGTCTGGCCAACATGGTGAAACCCCATCTCTACTAAAAATACAGAAAATTAGCTGGGCATGGTGGCATGTGCCTGTGATCCCAGCTACTCAGGAGGCTGAGGCAAGAGAATCGCTTGAACTCAGGAGGCGGAGGTTGCAGTGAGCCGAGATCGCGCCATTGCACTCCAGCCTGGGCAACAGAGCAAGACTCTGTCTCAAGAAACAAACAAAGGCTATAATAATAATAATAATAAAAGTGTTGGCAAGAAGGTGGAAAACTTGGCACCCTCTTACACTGCTGGGGGGAATGGAAAATTCCAGCTGCTGTAGGAATCAGTCTGGCAGGTACTTAAACGGTTAAACATAGAATTACCACATCACCCAGCAATTGCATTCCTATTTATGTACCCAAGAGAAATGAAAACAGATGCAAAAACTTGTACACAAATGTTCACAGCAGCATTACTCACAACAGCCAAAAGGTGGAAACCCAAACATCAACCAACTAATGAATACATGAAATGTGATCCATTCATCCAAATATAGTACTTGACAATAAAGAGAAATGAAGTATTGATACATGCAACAACGTGAATAAACCCTGAAAATATTACGCTGGGGGATGCAGTGGCTCACCCGTAATCCCAGCACTTTGGGAGGCCCAGGTGGGCGGACCACCAGAGGTCAGGAGTTCGAGACTAGCCTGGCCCATGCGGTGAAACCCTGTCTCTACTAAAAATATGAAAAGTAGCTGGGTGTGGTAACCCGCACCTATAATCCCAGGAGGTGGAGGTTGCGGTGAGCTGAGACCGCACCAGTGCACTCCAGCCTGGGCGACAAAGCAAGACTCCATCTCAAAAAAAAAAACAAAACAAAGAAATTAATTGTGATGGCTGCACAATTGTGTACACACTAAATGCCACTGCACTGTACACTGTAATGAGTGCATCACATGTGGACAGACTCCGATGAAGCTACTGTAAAATAAATAAATGAGATGGGCTTATGCCTGGCCCTCTGGTCTCTGGCAAGTCTTTCTGAGTGAGCAGGAAGGGCCTTCTTGTCATGTGGACCCGGAGCCCAGTCCTGGCTTAGTTGCTCACACCTATGTGCCCTGGGATCTCTGGCTTCCTTTTCCAGAGACTCAATTTGGTCAGTCACCTACTAGGTGTGACTGAGGACGGGTACATCCTTTCCTGAGCCCCAGCTCTCTCATCTGTGAAATGCCAGGAGGCCTGAGGGCGGGGAATGGTGGCTCACACCTGCAATCCCAGCACTTTGGGAGGCCAAGGTGGGAGGATAATTTGAACCGGGGAGTTTGAGACCAGCTTGGGCAACCTAGCGAGACCCTACCTTAAAACAAAGATTATCCAGTCACAGTAACACAACTACTCTGGAGGCTGAGGTGAGAGGATCACTTGAGCCCAGGAGTTCAAGGCTGCAGTGAGCTATGATTGCACCACTGCATTGCAGCCTGGGCAACAGGGCAAGATCCTGTCCCTTTAAAAAAAAAGAGGCAGGCGCAGTGGCTCACACCTGTAATCCTAGCACTTGGGGAGTCCAACTCGGGAACTCAGGAGGATTGCATGAGACCAGGGGTTTGAGACCAGCCTGACAAGATGGTGAAACCCTCTCTCTAAAAAATAAATAATCCAAATAGGCCGGGCGCGGTGGCTCACACCTGTAATCCCAGCACTTTGGGAGGCCGAGGTGGGCGTATCACAAGGTCAAGAGATCAAGACCATCCTGGCCAACATGGTGAAACCCCATCTCTACTAAAAATACAAAAATTAGCTGGGCATGGTGGCATGCACCTGTAGTCCCAGCTGCTCAGGAGGCTGAGGCAGGAGAATTGCTTGAACCTGGGAGGCGGAGGTTGCTGTAAGCCGTGATCGCGCCACTGCACTCCAGCCTGGCACTTGGCAATGAAGCAAGACTATGTCTCAAAATAATATTAATAGCTGGGTGCGGTGGCTCACACCTGTAATCCCTGCACTTTGGGAGGCTGAGGCGGGTGGATAATGAGGTCAGGAGTTTGAGACCAGCCTGGCCAAGATGGTGAAACCCTGTCTCTACTAAAAATACAAAAATGAGCCGGGCATGGTGGCGCATGCCTGTAATCCCAGCTACTCAGGAGGCTGAGACAGGAAAATGGCTTGAACCCAGGAGGCAGAGGTTGTCGCAGTGAGCCGAAATCATGCCATTGCACTCCAGCCTGGGCAACACAGCGAGACTCCGTCTCAAAAAAAAATTATAAAGGAAGAAATGGAGGGAGTCCCAGCAGCCTGTCAGGCTGGAGGAAAGGAAAGGGCAGGATGTGGACCCGCACACCTCATTGGCTTGAGGGTTAACTAAGGTTAACCAACACTTGGCCCTGTGGTGAGGGGACTTCCCAGGAACTGGCTGGATTAGGACAAACCATACTGGGGCTACAGAATTTGCATACCAATTTCACCAACATTCACCAAGCGCCTATGTACCACGTGTCCATATCCGTTGTGCCAGGACCTGGGGATCCTCATGGGGTTGTTGGCAGGGCCTGGCACACTCCATTTGGGAAGACCATGAGACGATGCCACGTTTGGCACCAACTGGGTCTTCCCAAGCTGTGCACCTCCTGCCTGCAACCGCCTGGGCAGCCTTGCCATTCGGGGGTTTGTTAGGTCCACTTCAAAGAGGGAAAGCTGAGGCTGAGGTAAGAGGGGACCAAGCCTGGCTGTGCCCAGAGCCCAAAATGTACCCCATCCTCGGCTCTGTCTCAGCCTCGCCAGCCCTGCATGTTAGAGAACGTTCTCCCAAAAAGGGGAAGTAGGCTCTGTGCCCGGGGGGCAGTCTGGAGGTCAGCATTCAGGACCTAGCGTCTACACATGCAGCCCCACCTGGCCTGGGGATCCCCACTCTGCGCTGGTTCCACCTTCAGGAACCCCCTCCCCCACGGGCTGGGGGAGGCAAGCGGACACTGACGCTGACCTGTGCTCCCGTCCCCCAGCCTGGGCCTCACACCCCCACTTGTCCATCTCTCACCAAAGCCCTTTGATGAAGGGACCTGGCTATTCACAGAAAAGCCAACTGAGGCTCAGGTCAGTCCCTTGTCGCAGGCCCCTCAGCTAGTGGGGAGAGGGGCGGCAAAACCCAGCCTCCCACCCAGGCCTCCCGGGAGCCGCAGCCCGAGTGCCAAACCACAGTCTTCCTGAACGCACTCTGGCTTCACACACACCCAGTACATCCGGGGCCTCGAGATGAGCCCCCACTGGGCCCCTCAGACCCCATGCTCACCTTGACTGCTCAGGATGCCGGGAGGTGAAGATCATTACTCCTTGCACAGTCAGGAAAGGGGCTCTGGGAACGCCATGAGCTGGCCAGGGCCCCACCCCCAGTACCAGGGGGAATGCTAGTTGGGTCCTCAGCCTTTCTTTCCTTTCCAGAACTCTGGCCCTGAAATCCTCCAGTCCCACTTCAGCCCTGTGAGGCAGACCTGTGTCTACCTCCCAAAGCTGACGGGACTTTCACCAGGAGGCTGTCTGCGGCCAACATGGTCCAGCTCCCAGGCTGGCTGCTACTAGGGCTCAGGGCAGCCCCTTCCCGGCAAAATCAGGGCAGAAGGGAAAGGGATCCTCCACCTGACCTTCGAGAGCAGCTTAATGTTTCCATATAAAGGAGACACAGGGCTTAAGGTGCTTCAACTTCGTGTCAAAGTCACTGTCTAATCTGAGGCCAAGAAGCCCCGCCCCAGGCCCCACCCCCACCCCACCCCCACAAATCAACATATTCTCACTCTTCCCAAACCAGGGTGTTCCCATTCACTCCCCACCTACCAGTGGAGGCTGGAAGGCAGGTTGGAAAGCAGAGACTGCAGAAAGACAAGGAGGTGCAGAGACAGGGAGGAAGAGGGGTGCTGAGGGGGTATCCCGAGAAAAATACAGGGACCCTGAGAGAGGGTGTGACAGAGACCTGGGGGGGGGACAGAGACCCAGAGTGAAGGGGACAGAGACCCAGAGAGAGAGGGGGACACAGACCCAGAGAGAGGGGAACAGAAACCCAGACAAAGAGTGGGACAGAGACCCAGAGAGAGAGGGGGACAGAGACCCAGAGAGGGGGGAACAGAGACCTGGGGGGGGAAAGAGACCCAGAGAGAGAGGGGGACAGAGACCCAGGAAGACAGGGACAGAGACCTAGATAAAGAGGGGGACAGAGACCCAGAGGGAAGGGGACAGAGACCTTGAGAGGACAGAGGACAGAGACCCAGAGACGGGGGACAGAGGAGAGGTAGACAGGGCAATTGGGGAAAAGTGAAAAGAGAAAAAAATGTTTTAAGAAATGATGACATGGGGAGATGAAACTGAAGGCAGAGAGGGAGAGAGACAGAGACAGCAGAGAGACAAAGAGAAAGAAGCAGAGGATGGGAACCAATGAGAAAATGCAGAAAAAGGCGGTGGGGTGGGAGGTGGAGGCACTGGACCTGGGGGCTCAATTCTCCCGGCGCTGAGCCTGTTGCTGATGGGCAGACAGGGCCTCCCTGAGGGGGCCACGCTCAGGACAAGGATGCTGGAGCAGGGGTGGATGGGGGAATGCAGCAGAGCAGGAGGGGCTGGCTTGGCGGGGCCTTGCGTGAAGGCACGTACCTGGTGGGGTGGCCCACCCCCATGCTCTCCGCTGGGGGCAGCCTCTGTGGGTGCCGAGGGGCTGTGGTCTGTCCTTGGCCCCAGGGGCCGTGAGCCCGCAGCCGACCTCGGAGTCCACAGATGATCAGAGGCCTGGACGGAGGGGGGCAGGGGGTGGGGCTAGCTCAGAGCCGCAGAGGGGGAGCCAGGGAGGCTGGCCAGGCAGGGTGGCTGGGACGCAGCCCAGGCAGGCTGGACAGGAGACAGCGGTGGAGGAGAGAGACAGCAACTGGGGGGCAGGGAGACTGGCAGTGGGGGACAGGAGACTCTGAAAGGGGGGAACACAGAGAAGAAAGAAACGTGAGATCATGATAAAGGGGAGGTGGAGGAAAGGAGAAATGGGGGCTCCCAAGTTACTGAAGAGGAAGGCTTCAGCATCTGGGAAGCAGGGATGAGGCCCCTTTTACTGAGCTGGAGTGAGTGCGAGATGGAAGGACACTCAGAGAAGCTGCCAGCGGCACTGGCACCGGTGGGCGGAGGGTTGGGTTGTGGGGCTGACCAGTGGCCTCCCTCCCACAGCCAAATTCCTCCCCGCCCTCAAACTCCCCCCCCTCCTCGTTTTCTCATGGGGCTGTGACCAAAGGACCAGTCTCAGCACACACGTCAGACCTCTTCCTGGTCGTTTACTGCTGCCCAGGAGCCCGGCTTCCTCCCACACAGTACCAGCCTCCAGTCAGGGAGGAGAGGAGGGGCCGCACGTAGCCCCCACACTGGGAAATCCTGGCCAAACCCAGCTGGCGGGAAGACAAGGGACAGAACCAAATTATGTTGGAGGGACCCACACCTCACATTTGACATGGCCACTGCATCACTGCATAAGCCCCGAGTTCCCTGCTGGGGACCAACAGACAAAACTGGGTCCTGAGCAGGGCCGGAGGCTCACGCCTGGAATTCCAGAACTTTGAGAGGCTGGGGCAGGCGGATCACTTGAGGTCAAGAGTTCGAGACCAGCCTGAACCCCATCTCTACTAAAAATACAAAAATTAACCAGGCGTGGTGCCGGGTGCCTGTCATCCCAGCTACCCGGGAGGCTGAGGCAAGAGAATCACTTGAACCCGGGAGATGGAGGCTGCAGTGAGTCGAGATCGTGCCACTGCACTCCAGCCTGGGCGACAGAGCAAGACTCCGTCTCAAACAAACCAGTGAAAACCTGGGTTCTGGGTCAGAGGCAAGTGGGTCATGCTGACAGGAAGGAATCCACCGACACGCAGGCCACACCAGGCTCTGGGAGCGAGTGGCCTTACAGAGCCCGGTCAGACTGAGTTCTTTGGTGAGAGGGGTCACTGCATCACACCCAGGCCTTCTAGAGAATAATCTGTCAAACAGAATCCTTCATGGCAGCCCACGGGCTGGCCAGTCCCAGTCAACAGACCTGAAGGAACCCCTTCCCGGGGAGCCCAACTTGACAGCAGTTTCCAAGCAGAAAGCAAGAGCAGCAGAGCCACTGGGCACCTCAGACACTGATGGTGCGGAAGATGGTGAAGCCCGACAGCGCGGTGCTGACCAGGAGCCCCGGGCACTGTGGGTGCCAGTGCAGCTCCTTGAGCTCCGTCTCGCCCTGGTGCACGAACAGCAGCTGCTGCGGGAGATCAGCCAGCCCGGGGTCGGCCTCTGTGTCGCCAGCCTCAGGGTCCTGCTCCACTGCCAGGTCCCACTGTGTGATCTGGTTGTCTGCACCCGAGGCTGCAAAGACCCCGCTGTCCTGGGGGTGCCACTCGACGGAGGTCACAGGGGCCACATGCTGCTTGAAGGTGGCCACGGGGGAGCCGGACTAGAGGGACAGGATGGGAATGATGGCTCTGAATGCCTCAGCCTGACTCCTGGGGGGCAGCCCAGGCAGACCCCAATCCCTCTCCAGCCTCAGGGTTTGACCAGGGCCCCATCCCTTAAGCCCTCACAAGCCCAGAGTCCAGGAAAGGGACACAGGGTAATTCTGGCTGCTAAGAAGGCTGACCAGCCCAGGGGCTGCTGGGAATTGGGGTTCACCTGCAAAGAAGCCCTTCTGAAACTTGGGTCACAAAACCCAAGAGGTGGCTCACGCCTGCAATCCCAACACTTTGGGAGGCCAAGGGAGGCGGATCACCTGAAGTCAGGAGTTCAAGACCCACTTGACCAACATGGTGAAACCCCATCTCTACTAAAAATACAAAATTAGTCAGTTGTGGTGGCGCGTGCTTGTAGTCCCAGCTAGTCAGGAGGCTGAGGCAGGAGAATCGCTTGAACCCAGGAAACAGAGGTTGCAGTGAGCCGAGATCATGACATTGTACTCTGGGCAGCAAGAGTGAAACTCCATCTCAAAACGACAACGACAAAAGGAGGGCATGGCTCTCCCAGAGCTCCCCCGACTGAGCCTACAAAGGCCTCAAAGGGGACAGAAGCACAAGCCCCGGAAGCCGACCCAAAGGAAGACTAAGACTGACAGCACTTTCACCACAGCACAGGCCCCACTGAACCAGCCTCTCTCTCAGCAGGAAAGGCAGCTCTGAAGTTCAATGGTTGAGAAGCCTGACCCTGTGCCCTGGTGGGCCGGGGGGCTGGAATCCATCTCTAGGCTCCTCCCCAGGGCTGGTGCTATAGAAATGATCAAACTGGAGGGGGAAAGGAGGACATCACGGCAGCCCAGGAAGGCAGAGCCACACAAAGCTGTGGCTTTGTCCAGAGGGACGCCAGACGCTGCTGCGCCTCCTGCCCAGTGCCTCTCCCAGCTCCACAACGTCAACCCCTGGCTTGGCTGTCATGGCACACCGGCTCTTGTCCTTTCTGTGCCTCAGTGCTCTCCTACCGCGAGTGAGCTGGGCCCCGATTCTCAGTTGCATCTACAAATCTGCAACTCCCTGAAGCTCTCAGCACGGGTCATACAGACAGCGGTACTTCTCCCTATGGGCAGATGGGAGCCTTAGTCTCCACTGCCCCGGCCCTTCCATCTAGTCAGCTGTTCCCCTGGCAGAATGAGTAACCCCAAGTGGAGAGCCAGCACCCTTCCTCTTGCTAAGCCTCAGTTTCCTCATCTGGACCATGAAGAGGCGGGAGTCTAGTTCTAAGGGCGCTCCCAACTCTGGGTGTATAAAACCATTCAAACAGGAAAAACCCTACAAGCCCCAGGGTGTGCTTGGAGCAAGCTTCTCCAGCCCCCAGGTGCCAGGCTGGGAAAGTACCTTGAACTGCCGAAGGTCCCAGATCTTGAGCGCCCCATCATCCCCGCCACTAAGCAGGAAGGGCTCCCGGCGGCTCCAGCTGATGACGTTGACATCCCCGTCGTGGGCGGTGGCTGTGGTGAGCATGCAGGCCTTGCTAGGGACTGCCCGGATGTCCCAGATGCGAATGGAGGCGTCAGCTGAGCAGGAGGCAAACACCTGGGCAGGGCAGAGTCTGAGTGGCCCTGATGCCCCACAACCCACAGTGAAGCCCAGGCCCCAGTGGTGGGGTGCTCCAGCAGTAGGCTACTCTCTTTCACTTCCTAGCACTTGGTGTGGAAACTAAATCTCCGCCAACCTCCCAGCTCTTTTCCCTTGGACCCAGGATTCTAGGTCCCTGGCACGAACCCCGTCAGAACTAGATGAGCAGACCACCAGCCCTCCCTCACCGTGTCTTCGGTCGGTGACCATTGCAGGTCCTCCACAGAGCGTGTGTGACCCATGAATGGCCGCTGGTCCACGTGCCAGGAGCCGCCATCCCTGGGTGTCCAGAGGTGGATGTTCTTTTGACAGTCACCGGTTAGCAGGCGACCTGGGGAAGGCAGTCAGGAAATGACCTTGCCCCCACTCTCTGCAGTTCGCTCCCCTCCCTGGAGTCTAAGTGCCCCACCTCGATGCAGACCCTGCTCCCCCCATCTCCCTGGGACTCCTGAACACTGCAGGGACTCACCAGGCACCCGGGGGGACCAGTCAAGGGCAAAGCCCTCGCCCATGTGCCCCGCAAAGGAGAAGATGGGCTTCGTTTGGGCCTGCTCATCCCGGAGGAAGGCTGCCAGGGCCTGGGGGTCCTCCACCACCTGTAGAAGCCGCCGCAGCGCAAACACCTCCACCTGGCCCTTCTCTGACCACACCCCGGCCACAGGCTCTTCACCTAGCCATGATACCTACAGAGGAGTGAGGGGGAAGGCTGATGTGAAGCAAGGGGAGAGGATGATCAGGGTACTGACTGCAAGCTCCCCACATCCCAGAGAACCAGAGGCGCAGTTCCCCAGATCCCCCAGGGCAGGGACTACGGCTCCTAGAAACCTCTGTGGGAAGGACACCACAGCCTGTCAAACCAGCATTGTAACTGGGATGGCTCTCCACAGGATGGGGGTGGGGGAGCTGAGGTGGGAGGACAGAGCTCCAAGATGCCTGGGAGTCAAGGCTGTAATTCCCACCAGCCCATGGCAGTGTTTTCAGGCTCCTGATCTCTGTAACCCTCTAAACACTGGAAGGCCACAGGTTCAGTCGTTGGATCTCTTTGCCTCTGTGTTTGTTCACTATGATACCCAGTCTAGCCACAAGGTTTCCAGTTACCCACTAGCCCTGAACTCAACCTCTTGGGCTCAAGTGCTCTTCCCACCTCAGCCTCCCAAGTAGGCGGAATTATGGGCGAGCACCATCACATCCAGCTTTTCACAGTTTTTTGTAGCCAGGTGTGGTGGCTTACGCTGGTAATCCCAGCACTTTGGGAGGCTAAGGTGGGCAGATCACCTGAGGTCGGGAGTTCAAGACCAGAGCCGACATGGAGAAACGCTGTCTTTACTAAAAACACAAAATTAGCCAGGTGTGGTGCTGTGCACCTGTAATCCCAGCTACTTGGGAGGCTGAGGCAGGAGAATCACTTAAACCCGGGAGGTGGAGGTTGCGGTGAGTTGAAATCGTGCACTGTACTCCAGCCTGGGCAACAAGAAAAACTCTGTCTCAAAAAAAAAAAAAAACATAATTTTTGTAGAGATGGGGTCTCACTTTGTTGCCCAGGTTGGTCTGGAACTCCTGGTCTCAAGCAATCCTTCTGCATGGGCTTCCCAAAGTGCTGGGATTACAGGCATGAGTGCTCAGCCTTGACCATTCAAACTTTTTTTTTTTTTGAGATAGAGTCTCGCTCTGTCACCTAGACTGGTGTGCAGTGGCGCGTTCTTGGCTCACTGCAACCTCTGCCTCCCAGGTTCAAGCAATTCTCCTGCCTCAGGCTCTGGAACAGCTGGGATTACAGGTGCATGCCACCATGCCCGGCTAATTTTTTGTACTTTTTGTAGAGACTCGGTTTCACCATGTTGGCTAGGCTGGTCTCGAATTCCTGATCTCAGGTGATCCGCCCACCTGAGCTTCACAAAGTGCTGGGATTATAGATGTGAGCCACCACACCCAGCTGGACTTTTTTTTTTTTTTTTTGCCAATCAGTTTGAGCTTATGAGGTGGCTCAGGTTAGCCTTGGACTGATGACCTCGCCTTCGCGAGCGCCATGAGCTCCGGCGGGAGCCACTTTGGACCCCCCAGCTGGACTTTTCTAAAAACTGAAGGAGGTTGGGTGTGGTGGCTCATGCTTGTAATCCCATCGCTTTGGGAGGCCGAGGCAGGCTAATCACTTGAGCTCAGGAGTTTAAGACCAGCCTAGCCAACATGGCAAAAACCTTGTCTCTATTAAAAATATAAAAAATTAGCTGGGTGTGGTGGCAGGCACCTATAGTCCCAGCTACTTGGGAGGCTGAGGCAGGAGAATGACTTGAACCCTGGAGGAGAAGGTTGCAGTGAGCCAAGATCGCACCACTGCATTCCAGCCTGGGCAACAGAGCGAGACTACATTTCAAAAAAAAAAATGAAAGACACAAGGAGCTGTTGGGAGAGTTATGGACATAGGGAATGGGTCTGGTGTGTTTCAGAGAATGCAGAGCAGGCTCCTGGGACCATGTCTGCTCCTGGGACCATGCTTACCCGAACTCGGTTGATGCCACCATAGTGGGGCACCATGGCCAGCTCCAGCTGAGGCTTCTGCTCTTCTTCATCCTCTTCATCTTCCTCCTCCTCTTCATCACTGCTGTCTGAGGGTGGGGGCTTAGTTCCATGCAGATTGTGCATCCGAAGGATCATCAGTCTGGTAGAAAGTGGGGGGTGAGTTAGGCACTAGATTTCAGGATTCTTAGGAAGGAGACAGGCTGGAAACCCAGACTCCTGGGTCTGGGACAGGCAGCAACTGGAAGCCCTAACTCTTGGGTCCTAAGGAAGGGGCTGGAAACTGAGCCTCCTGGTCCTGGAAAAGCCTCGGGTCTTACCTGTTGCTCTGGGCGCTCTCGGCCTGGGTCCCAGCACACAGGTAAAGTGTAAGAGGAAGCTCTGTCCGGCTGTCTCCCAGGTGATCCCGGACTATGTCAAAGCTGAGACAGGGAGCGCCTGGGGATGGAAGGAGGGTTTTACGAGTTAAGACTGGACAGTGAGATCTCAGTCCCCACCTCCCTCATGGATCAACCGCCTCTGATGTGAAATCACCTTAGAGTCCAGCCTTCTCTTCCCGAGCACCTCTCAGGTTAAAGGCTTGAGATCTGGGCGAGAGCAGTGGCTCACGCCTTGTAATCCCAGCACTTTGGGATGCCGAGGCGGTCGGATCATGAGGTCAGGAAATCGAGACCATCCTAGCTAACACGGTGAAACCCCGTCTCTACTAAATACAAAAAACTAGCCGGGCGTGGTGGCATGCGCCTGTAGTCCCAGCAACTCGGGAGGCTGAGGCAGTAGAATCACTTGAACCCGGAAGGCGAAGGTTGCAGTGAGCCAAGATCGAGCCACTGTACTCCAGCCTGTGCAGCAAAGAGACTCCATCTCAAAAAAAAAAAAAAAAAAAAAAAAAAAAAAGGCTCGGGATCAACCACCTCAAGACCCTGGAGTGTGGACTCTCAGCCCTACCAGTCTGCGCTCGGTGGTATAGCACATAGGCCTCCTCGTCCATGACCAGCTCCTCCCCTTCGCGTAGCGGCGGCCCCCGGCCGGGCAGGTAGACCTGGGCCGGGCCCTCGGAACTTGTGTGGCGGGACTCGGCCTCCATGGGTTCCCTGGTTTCACACATGCGCCGCCGACCCTTGCGCGCCGCCATCTTCGAACCCTCTTATCGCCGACGCCCGGTTAGAGCGTCACTTCCGGGTTTTGCTTTCCTTCTAATGAGATCCGCCGTACTGCGAGGTTACCTTGGAAACCTCCGCGACCGCTAATTAGAGAGGGTAGTGCGTAAAGGCGGGAGAACTCAGGAAATGGCGCCCCCGGGAGAAGACTGAGGATACGCAGAAATTGCATCTTCGCGTGACTTTGGGTGCTGTTCCTCGCGGTAGTGGCAAGGGCCTCTGGGAGTTGTAGTTCTAAGGGAGGCCTGTTATGCCTATATTTCACTTTGATTCCCAGAGCATTCCTTCTACTTAATTATTCATATATGCAAATTTGTTTTCTCACTGGCAAAGAGACTGGGTTTCTGCTCCCTGAGGACCCATAAGGCCGGTTTCTTCTCTCCCTGTTATCATGGCTTTAACTTATTTCAAAAATGCCTTCCTGTAGACAGGATGGATATTATCTGTAAGTTAGGCGGTTCAATCTACCCTCTAGGGGCAATCAATTGCCTAACTAGACATTTACATTGAGGCTCTGGTCAGCGAGCACTTAATCAGATAGTCCACCCTCTGGGGGCAGCTATTACAAGTGATTCGACTCTCTTTATCGTCCATCAGCACCAGCGGTTTGGCTAATTGACATAATGAAATGTTAGAAATAGATTCTCATTGGTGAGATTAACAGCATTCAAGATAATGCGGATTGGTTGGGATATGTCAGACAACTCTCCTAGCTTGCATGAACAGGATATTAAGAATCTAGCAAGCCTTGGTGCCTGTAGCCATAGGAAATAAAACCATACCTTTGATCCTAAAATGTTTTGTCTCCGGGATCTAGCTCACCCCTCTCTTGGGGTCTCTATCTGCCCCAGTACCCTCTCGATTTCTCTTTCCAGGGTCTCTTCCCACTGCCTCTTTCTTGGTCTTTGTCTCCCCGCCTCCTTTCAGAGTCTCTTCTCTCTAATAATATCACCTCTTCCCATGGGAATTTTGTGTTTCTGTTTCCCCCAGAGAAGTCGAGGGGGGCTAACAGACACGGAGCTCAGGCTTGGACTGAGGAGGCATAAAAACATGGTTTATTCCAAACACTGCAATGTGGAATAGAAGAGTGGGAAGGGAGGTTGGTGAAGTGTGGACTCCCAGACCCTCCCCTCCGCAACCCAGCCCCAGACCCGGCTGGAGATCTGGGAAGAGGAGGCTTTTTGGAGGTCTGCTGGGTCATCACTGAAGGGTCGCAAATAAGGATTGGATTTGGAGAGGATGTGGTTGGTGGCAAGTGGGGTGGTCTAGAGGTGCGACAGGTTGGGAAGTTTTGGCTTGAAGGAGGTTGGGTTCATTGCGGTGCAAGGGTTGGCGGGGCTTCCGTTGGGGACGAGTCCTAGGTCACAGTAAGGAAAAGCGCCCGAGGGTTGAAGAGGAGGAGAGGGTGTCACGGTTTGATGTCAAGGGTCACAGTCTGGTCGGGGCACGGTCTGGGGTTCGGGTCACAGTTTGGGGTCGGGGGTCACAGTCTGGGGTCGGATGACCATTTTAGGAGTCGGATGTCACAGTCTGGGTCAGGGGTTTCTGTGTGGCGGGGCCAAGGTCTGGGGTCACAGTTTGGCGAACGCGTCTCACAGTTTTGAGTCCTGATGGATGAAAGGTTAAAAACGAGCTTCCCCGGAGGCGCGACTGGGGCCGGGGAGCTGCACAGTGATGTGGGGGCCACGGCCCCGGGCATGGAGGTGGGACGCGGGTGTGGCGTGACTCCCCACCTCCCGCCCCATCTGGTGACGTTAAAAAGCCCTTGTCGGGTTTAAAAAAAAAGTCCGGTGGGCTCCGAGGCCCCCGCCCCCTCGCTCTCAGGCTGGGTGATAATTGGGGGACCAAATCCTCTTCGGCTCGCGGTTTCTTCAGAACGAGGGGGCACAGGACGCTGCTCCAGGCGGGGTCCGGCCAGTTCCGTTGCTTTCCTTCCCAACCCACGCGGGTCCTATCCACTGCGGGCGCCCCCTCGGGCCGTGGCCTGCGCTGACCAAGGGGGCAGTGGGGCCCCCGGGGCCGCGTCATACCTCGGACTCGAGGCTGGAGAAGTGCGCCGAGCCCCTGCGGGTGCCCAGGTCCCCGCCCCGGTGTCTCCGGTGGGACGCTGTGGGCAGAGGCTGCCCCCAGTGTGCGGCGTGCGGGCACCTGCGAGCGTGGCGGGAGGGCCCGGTGAGCCTGCGCGCCGGGGCGGCGCGGGGGCACGAGCTGAGGTCCTCGAGCGAGCGCGAGGTGGGCGCGGGCGGCGGGATGTCCCAGCCCCCCGCGGCGCGCCGGTGCCGGTGGTGGTGGGGTGCGGCGGCGGCGGGCGTGCGGTGGGATGCCCGCGGGCGGTGTGGGTGCGACCGTGGACACCCGCAGCGGGCCCGGCGTCGGGGCGGGGGCCCGGCGGCCCAGGGCGGAGGCGGTGGCGCCCACCAGCCGCCGTCCAGGCCGTCGTGCGAGCAACTGAGATGGCGCGGCGGCGGCAGCAGCTCCAGACTGGCGCAGTGGCGGCAGTGCCAGGCGGCGGGACCGCTGCGCGGGGGCAGGTAGTCCCAGCTCCCGGCGCGCCAGCCCCCGAGCTTGTCGACCGACCAGTAGCGGCCGGGCGGGGGCCCGAGGCGTTCGGCGTATGGGTAGGGGAAGTCGGCGAACCACCAGGGCTCCAGGCCTCCCAGCGACGCGCCGCCCAGGCTCTCCGAGTCCTCCGAGTCCGACGGCGACGGCTCGAGGTCGAGGTAAGGGCAGGGGGGCGGCGCGGCGCGGCATGGGGGCGGCGCGGCCGGGGCTCCTCCGCCCGTGCCCCCTGCGCCGCCCGCGCCCCCCGCACCGGGTCCCAGCAGGGGCTGGCTCTCCGGATCCGAGCGTGGCCACCGCGCGGGCGCCGGCGGGCTCTCGTCCTCAAAGGCCAGGCGGCAGAGTGGCGGCCCGACGGCGGTGGCCGCGGCGGCAGGGGGCGCGGGCGGCGACGGGAAGCCGGGGAAGGCGCCGGCAGGGGGCTCGGCGGGCTCCTTGTCGCGCACGATGGCGAAGTAGGAGGGCGGCGGCTTCTGCGGGGGCTGCGCGGCCGGCGGGGAAAGGGGGCGCCCGGCAGCGCCCCGGGGCGCCGCGCGCGCCTCGCCCAGGCCCAGGCCTAGGCCCTGCGGCTCGATGGGGCCGTAGTAGCGGTGGAAGCCGTCGGCCAGGCCCGCACCCCCCGGCGGCCCCGCTCCCTTGGTCCGGCGCCAGCGGTCCACGGGGGCGCGCTCGCGGGGCACGAAAGGTGCGGGCCCGGGCGCCGGCCGCGGCGCGGGGTATGCGGGGCTGGGTAGGGGCTGCGGCGGCGGCGGGGGCTTGGCGGGCGGCGGGGCGGCTTCCGCGCTGCAGCAGCTGTACATGCCCTGCGGGCCCGGGGACAGGACAAGGTCAGCACGGGGTGCCCGGGACGCCTGCCTGCCTCCCCACTTTCCCCGCACCCCCGTGCCTCCCTCCTCTCCATTTCCCCGCCTGCTTCTTTCTTTTCTTTTCTTTGAGAGGGAGTTTTGCTCTGTCGCCCAGGCTGGAGTGCAGTGGCACAATCTCGGCTCACTGCAAACTCCGGGTTCTGGCAATTCTCCTGCCTCAGCCTCCGGAGTAGCTGGGATTACAGGCGCCCTCCACCACGCCCGGCTAACTGTGGTTTTAATAGAGATGGGGTTTCACCATGTTGGCCAGGCTGGTCTTGAACTCCTGACCTTGTGATCCACCCACCTTGGCCTCCCAGAGTGTTGAGAGTACAGGTGTGAGCCACCTCGCCCAGCTTCCCTGCCTGCTTCTCCTGCTCTCTTCTTCACTATCCCTATCTCGAACCGCAACTCCCATCCCCGCCTGGCTTTACCTTCTTCCTTCCCCCTTCCATCTCCCCTTCCATCTCCCCGTTTCCGCCTCCCTCTCTGCCCCGTACCCTGGAGAAGGCCAGCAGGAAGTCCATGCGGTGAGTGGGTCCCAGGCAGTGCCGCAGCCGCCAGTACACCAGGTGCTCCCAGGCGAACACCAGCAGGGACAAGCCCATGGCCACCAGGAGCATGTAGAAGACCCCCGCCATGTTGTCGATGTCCAGCTTGCTGCTCATCACCTCGATTTTGTCATTGTGGCAGATCCCGGAGAGCCACAGCCGCTCCAGCATCTCGATCTCATCTGGGGAGGGGCAGTCAAAAAGCCACCTGCTATATGAGCACCCTCTGACGACCCTCACTGGTGGGGTGGGAATGTAAGCCCTTCCTTAGCCCCTTCCTCCCTCAGACCCTGGTGTCTGAGTTTTTGCCCATTTCTTCCCCGGAACCCAGGGGTCTCGCCCTCCCCCTCTCCGCTGTGGAAATCCCTGCGCGAAGCCACACCGTCCCCCAGGAACTGCAGCAGAGCCAGGTCGATGGGTCGCTTCCAGCGGGAGCCCTTGTGCAGGGCGATGCCATAGCCTGTCGTGGCGAAGACCTTGCCGGAGCCGATGGTGACAAGCTTGCAGCCCTCGTCCTTGCGAGCCATGTAGTTGAGCACCGCAGCATCATAGATGAAGGCATCCAGCTTCCTGCGGGAAGGGGGAGTGGAGGGCAGGGTCAGTCCCACCCAGATGCCCTCACTGCCAGGCCTGGAACCTCCTCACCTCTAACCTCCAACTGCTCCAAATCCTAACTGGCCCTGAGCTCTTGAGCAAATCATTGCACTTCTCTGTGCCTCAGTTTTCCACATCAGAAAAATGGGCATGGCAGCAGTATCTCCCTTCAGAGTTGTTCCAAAAGTATGTTTTGTTTTGAGATGGAGTCTTGCTTGCTCTGTCCAGACTGGAGTGCAGTGGCACAATCTCAACTCAAGGCAACCTCCGACTCCTGGGTTCAAGCCATTCTCTTGCCTCAGCCTCCCAAATAGCTGGGATTAAAGGAACCCACAACCATGCCCAGGTAATTTTTGTATTTTTTAGTAGAGATGGGGTTTCGCGGTGTTGGACAGACTGGTCTTGAACTCCTGACCTCGGGTGATCCACCCACCTCAGCTTCCCCAAGTGCTAGGATTACAGGCGTGAGCCACCGTGCTTGGTCCAGAAGTCTGTATTTTAAGACACAGGGTCTGGCTATGTTGTCCAGGCTGCACCGGAAATCCTGGGCTCCAGCAATCCTCCTATCTCAGCCTCCCCAGGAGCAGGAACTACAGGCAAAGGTTAGATAGTACCTCATGCAAAGGAGGTGCTGGAGAAGTGCTAGCTGTGACTGTTAATGAAAGTTACTCCTTTAGTCCTCAACATGGCCCACCAAAGTTTCCATTTACTCTTGCATTTTAAAAAAGAGGATTGAGACCGGCCATGGTGACTCACAGCTGTAATCCCAGCACTTTACTTTGGGAGGCAAAGGCGGGTGCATCACCTGAGCTCAGGAGTTCCAGACCAGCCTGGCCACCGCGGTGAAACCCCATCTCAACTGAAAATACAAAAATTAGCTGGGTGTGGTGGTGGGTACCTGTAATCCCAGCTACTCAGAAGGCTGAAGCAGGAGAATTGCTTGAACCTGGGAGGCGGAGGTTCCAGTGATTTGAGATCGCGCCACTGCCCTGCAGCCTGGGTGACAGAGAGAGATGCCATCTCAAAACAAATAAATAAATAAAGAGGAGGATTGAGGCTTAGAAGGGGAAATGGGAAAAAAAGAATAACGCGAGTGAATGGACACTTACAGTGTGCCACACATTGTTCTATGTAGTCTAAGAACTCTTTTTTTTCCCTGAGACAAGGTCTCACTATGTTGGCCAAGTTGGAGTGCGGTGGCACCATCATGGCTCACTGCAGCCTTGACCTCTAGGGTTCAACCCATCCTCCTGCCTCAGCCTCCTGAGTAGGCTGTGGACGCACACCTGTGCCTCCTGTGGACGCACACCACCACACCTGGCTAATTTTTGTATTTTTTGTAGAGACAGGTTTCTCCATGTTGCCCAGGCTGGGCTCTAACTCCTGGGCTCAAGTGATCCTCCTGCCTTGGCCACCCAAAGTGCTGGGACTATAGGTGTGAGCCTGTAGGGAGATAACCATTTTTTTCAGATGGGGAAACACAGACCCAGACACATACCTTAACTTGCTTGGGTTCTCCCATTAGACCTTGATTTTTTTTTTTTTTTTGTGATGGAGTCTCTCCCTGTCGCCCAGGCTAGAGTGCAATGGCGTGATCTCAGCACACTGCAATCTCTGCCTCCCGGGTTCAAGTGATTCTTCTGCCTCAGTCACCCGAGCAGCTGGAATTACAGGTGCTCACTACCATGCCTGGCTAATGTTTTGTATCTTTAGTAGAGACCGAGGTTTCACCATGTTGACCAGGCTGGTCTCGAACTCCTGACCTTGTGATCCACCTGCCTCAGCCTCCCAAAGTGCTGGGATTACGGGCATGAGCCACTGTCCCCAGCCTCATTAATTTTTTTCCTTGAGACTGTTTTGCTCTTGACCTCGAGGCTGGAGTGCAATGGCACGATCTCAGTTCACTGCAACAACCTCCATCTTCCAGGTTCAAGAGATTCTCCTGCCTCAGTCTCCCAAGTAGCTGGGATTACCGGCATGTGCCACCACACACAGCTAATTTTGTATTTTTAGTAACTATGGGGTTTCACCATGTTGACCAGGCCGGTCTTTAACTCCTGACTTCAGTTAATCCACCCACTTCGGCCTCCCAAAATGCTGGGATTACAGGCGTGAGCCACCTCGCCTGCCCTAGGCCCTGATTTCTAAGACTTGGTGGGAAGAGGAGCAGGGCTGTGGAGTTAGCTCTCTTGGATGCATTTACTGTGGGACATACCGCGATCACTCTCACTTAAAACTGCTGTCATTTTACCTTTATTTCTGTGGTTGTTTGATTAATCTCAACCTCCCTCATGAGACTGCAAGCCCCTCAGGGTCACAGTTGCTCTCATTCTCAGCTGTGGCTGGGGTACAGTTCCTGGCACATAGGATGGGGCTGATAGATATTTGTGGAATGAATGAATGAGTGAATAAATGAATCCACAGAGAGGAATACTGTGTAACTCTTCTGTGGTATGAGATAAATGCTTATGATCTGACAGGTGAGATATGGGGTACATTTTATATTATTTTTAAAATTTTTATTTTATTTTATTTTACTTTGTTTTTAGAAACGGGGTCTCTGTCTGTTTTCCCAGCTGATCTCAAACTCCTGGGCTCAAGCAATCCTTCCGCTTCAGCCTCCCAAGTAGCTGGGATTACAGGCGTGCACCACCACACCAGGCTAATTTTTATATCTTGAGTAGAGGCAGCATTTCGCCACGTTAGCCAGGCTGGTCTCAAACTCCTGACCTCAGGTGATCCGCCCACCCTGGCCTCGCACAGTGCTGGGATTCCACTTGAGCCACCTCGCCTGGTTACATTTTATGTAATTTAACTAATTTGGACAAGCACAGTTCTGGGGAGACAAGATACATAAAGACGAGTGGCGAGGCCGGGCATGGTGGCTCACACCTGTAATCCCAGGACTTTGGGAGGCCAAGGTGGGTGGGTCACGAGGTCAGGAGTGGAAGACCAGCCTGGCCAACATGGTGGAACCCAGTCTCTACTAAAAGTACAAAATTAGCTGGGCGTGGTGGCATGCACCTGTAATCCCAGCTACTTAGGAGGCTGAGGCAGGAGAATCGCTTGAACCCAGGAGGCAGAGGTTGCAGTGAGCCATGCATGATTGCACCACTGCACTCCAGCCTGGTGACAGCAAGAATCCATCTCAAAAAACAAGAAAAGAAAAGAAAAAAATAGCAGTTGGATGTTGAGTGGCAGAGAAGCCAAAGGATCTTCCAGGCAAGAATACTTAACCTCCAGCCTGTCTGTTGATACAAGTCCTCTTGTGTCCCCAAACCTTCAGAAAAGCCCTATCCACACACTCACAGGCTCACATATAAAAGCCTTTGTGTGGTTGGTTGCGTGGAAATCAGAGAAAAGGACTAAATTAGTCCATACGCTCTAAAGTGGGGAACAGACAGGGAGTGGATTCCCCAATTTGAATGTATCTATAGTGGAAGCAGACTTGGGGGTGGAGGCCGGGCGTGGTGGCTCACGAACGTAATCCCAGCACTTTGGGAAGCCAGGGTGGGCAGATCGCCTGAGGTCAGGAGTTAGAAACCAGCCTGACCAACATGTCGAAACCCCGTCTCTACTAAAAATACAAAAATTAGCCGGGTGCAGTGGTGGGCGCCTATAATCCCAGCTACTCGGGAGGCTGAGGCAGGAGAATTGCTTGAACTCGGGAGGCAGAGGTTGCAGTGAGCCGAGATCTGGCCATCGCACTCCAGCCTGGGCAACAGAGGGAGACTCCGTCTCAAAAAAACCCACTTGGATGTGGATAATGTGAAGCTCCGGAGAATTAGCAGAAAACTGGGGAGGGCGATCATCATCCCACGGCTGGAGAATGGGGTTTGAATTAATATTATATAGATCCTAACAGGGAGTTCCCAGCTGGCATCTGGAAACAAGGATAGACGAGAGAAGTCCGCCAACTGCCTGCAGGCACTTCTGCCTAGTAGGCAAACTGTAATTTTTCTCTACAGTTCTCTTTGTTTAGGAAAATGCCCTTGGGGGCGAAAGGTGAATTGCTATTGATGTTTAAGTGGGAAGAAAGTGGAGTTTCTAGAGTTAAAGTGAGGGGGAGGAACAGAGGGGCTGGGACTGGGAGAAGATGGAAGGAGGGTCTCCAGGGGTCCTTAGAGGACAAATGGGAGTGGAAGGAGAGACTCAAGTTGCATTTTGGAGAAAGCTAAAAATCAAGGCTTCCCGTGGCGGAAACAGTTGAGAGATGTCAGGGAGAGGAGTGCTAACAGCATTCACTTTCGATGGCTTGCTCAGTTGTGCTGGGATATACCGCCTCCCTCCCCTCTCGCATCCACCTCACCATCCCCTCAGGGTCCCTAAATGTCCATTAAAACTCAGCCATGGGCGTGGTGGCTCACCTCTCTAATCCCAGCACTTTGAGAGGCTGAAGTCGGCGGATCACCTGAGGTCAGGAGTTTGAGACCAGCTTGCCCAACATGGTGAAACCCCCCCATCTCTACTAAAAATACAAAAGATTAATAGCTGGGCGCAGTGGCTCACGCCTGTAATCCCAGCACTTTGGAAGGCCAAGAAGGGTGGATCACAAGGTCAGGAGATGGAGACCATCCTGGCTAACACAGTGAAACCCTGTCTCTACTAAAAATACAAAAAATTAGCTGGGTGTGGTCGCACCACCTGTAGTCCCAGTACTGGGGAGGATGAGGTAGGAGAATCACTTGAACCTGAGAGGTGGAGGTTGCAGTGAGTCAGGATCCCACCACTGCACTCCAACCTGGGTGACAGGGCGAGACTCCATCTAAAAAAAAAAAATAATTAGCCAGGCATGGTGCCGGGCATCTGTAATCCTAGCTACTCAAGAGGCTGAGGCAGGAGAATCACTTGAACCCGGGAGGCAGCGGTTGCAGTGAGCCGAGATTGTGCCACTGCACTCCGGCCTGGGCAACAGAGTGAAACTGTCTCAAAGAAAAAACAAAAAAATTCTGATCCCTGAATGCTCAGAGGGACTG